GATTGACATCTCCAAGTATAGGGGAGTCGAAGAGGACTCCCTCTTGAGATGGTTCGTCGAATTGGATGACGCCATAAGGGCGCGTCGCATCGACGACGGGGATATGCAAGTTGCATTTGCCCAGTCAAATCTGGCAGGACGTGCCAAGACTTGGGCACTGGGGCTCAAGTTGCACGACCCATATGCGTTTGGGTCGTTAGAAGTCTTCAAGTCGCGGCTCAGACAAACGTTTGAACCGCCTAGAGCTGAGTTCAGAGCTCGAACCGAACTCTTGAAGCTCAAGCAGGGTAAGCGTGATGTGCACGCTTACGCGCAACATATACGACATCTCACGAGTTGTATAAGTTCCAATCCGGTGGATGAACACACGTTGTTTTCGGTGTTCATGCAGGGTCTTGCGGATTGTCCCGTCAAGACTCACCTGTTCCGGATTGAACTAGATTCACTAGAGCAAACCATTTCCATTGCGGAGCAGGAAGACTTCAGTCTGAGACAGTATCGCGCCAGCTCGACATCATATCGTCAACCGAGACGATATGACAACGGAGGTCCAGAGCCGATGGAACTCTGTTATGTAGAGAGCGAGAAGGCTCGCTCTACAGACTACAAAAAGTTGCAGAAATGCAACAGATGTCAGAAGACAGGACACTACGCTTACAAGTGTAGTGCCCCTCGGCCAGTGTCTCGCAACACTGGGCGTAGTGACCGTCCACCCATGAGAAAGGGGCAGGGACGAGGGTCCGCTGTTGGTGCAAAGACGCAACAACGGGATGGACCGTCAAAAAACGGACAGGGTCAGTAGGCGCGGAGCACCCTACTGGTCCAGCAACGTCAAGAGAATTTGTAGGCCTCTTGATGAAGGTTGCTCCCAATACACAAACGTTGTGCGTTGCTGCTCTAGGTAATGAGATCTCACTCATTACCTTGAAACTCGAAGTGACGAATAAGTTGTCCCTTCGAGCTCTAGTCGATTGTGGGGCGCCCAACAATTTTGTGCGACGTCAATCGCTAGAAGATGGTCACTTTAAGTTCAGTGAATGTGACACACCTCCTACGAGGATGACGGTACGTCTTGCGACAGGCGCATCCGTAACCGTCATGAAGCGTATAGTGAAGATCCACTACACGCTAGAAGATACCCAATATGACGATGACTTTATCGTATTGGATTTGGATGACAAATTTGATGTCATCCTTGGAATACCGTGGTTTAGAAGGTACGAACCACGGGTAAACTGGCAACATCGAACAGTAAAGATGCCTGCCGCTTGTTCATCAGATGGCCATCTGGTGAACGTTTTGGAGCGTCCACAAGCGTGTGGATGTACTACGAGTGAGTGCGATGGCCTCACTTGTGGTACGGTCGTTAGTACGACTGCACAAAACCTTAGTGTAAGAAACGGTTACACTTCGGAGCAAAGTTCCGGCGGCTGTGAGGAAACACAGGCTGCGCCGAAGGTCCACCACTCGAATAAATCGGGTGGACTGGGACAAAGATGTATCCCTAGCGGGGAACATCTAGAAGAGAAACAATCGATCGCTCAGGTTAAGCGAAACGATAATCCTAGATCGACTGGACAGTCTTTCGTAGAGGATCTCGCTGTGGTTGCGCAACCCCAGCTAGAGGAAGTAGAGGGAATAAGTCCCAAGATTACAAATACGGCGGAAATAAGCTCCCCGAAACCCGCGGGAATAAGTCCCCGGGAAGCCGAAGGAATAAGTCCTTCGAAGCCTGAGGGAATAAGTCCCCAGGAAATGACAGAGACATTGAATGTCATAGTCAATAACGGATCAAGTGTAGGCGCTTATACACTTGATCTGATTGCGCCTCCGAAGTTGACTTCGGAGATCACTCAGTTGCCAACGCTCGAACATAAGAGGTTCTTGCATGATCTGCGTAGTGGCAAAGTCAAGCAGATCTGCGTACTCGTCGCTGACGACGAGTGTGTAACCGACATAAGGTCAGCAACATTGTTTACTGAGAACGAGAGAGTTCTCATTAGTTCATCTATGGACGAGGGTGTCCTAGATGAAAAGACACGAACTGAGCGATATGACTCCCAATCGTGGGAATCGCTCAAGACAAATCCTCTCTATGAAGATTTGGTCGAATTCAAGGATGTATTCCCTGAAACTGTTCCGTGCGAATTACCGAAGGATAAAGGTATTCGACACGAGGTCGAGCTTAAACCAGGCTCGAAGTACCGTGTCATGAAGCAGTGGCCACTGCCCCGTGAACAAGTACTTGCGATCGACAAGTTCTTTGCCGATCGTTTAGCTGCGGGCCATGTGAGGGAATCAACTTCCCCACATAGCTCTCCGACCTTCTGTGTGCGAAAAGCAACAGGAGGGTGGCGGATAGTGCATGCATTTAACAAGTTGAATGCTGCAACGGTACCGGCTCAGACGCCGATACCGAGGAAGGACGTAATCATTGATGGTATGTCAAAGAGTACCATCTTTTCGTCCATGGATTTGATGGATGGCTTCTATCAAATCCTTATGCGAGAACGGGATATACCCTATACCGCAGTTAGAACGCCTAGCAGCATGCTCTGGGAATGACTAGTAATGCCACAAGGGCTTAGTAATGCCCCTGCCACGTTCAACAGATGTGTATCACATCTGTTGAGACCAGTACGAGAATTCGCGCCGAGTTATTTCGATGACGTATTCATCCATAGTCGAGCTATGGATGGAAAGTCGGACGTTGAGGTTCACAGGTACCACGTCCGACAGGTTCTTACAATCATGCGAAAACATCAATTGTATGCAAACCTCAAGAAGTGTATATTTGCAGCAAGCGAAATACCACTTCTTGGGTGCATCGTTGGTAAGAACGGTGTACGTCCTGATCCCGAAAAGATCAAGGCGATCACCGACTGGCCTGTGCCGGTTGATGTCAAAGGTCTTCGAAAATTCCTTGGGCTAGCGGCGTATTTGCATACATATTCACGCAATTACGCCGAGATGACTGTGCACCTCTCTCGTTTGTTGAAAAAGAACGAGAGGTGGTTATGGAACGTTAAATGTCAGCGCTCCTTTGATGGTATCAAGTCAAGCAGAGCTTGATACAATCCCCAGTCCTAGCAATAGCCGATCAGGACAGGCCATTTCATGTGGTCTGTGATGCCAGTGATTTCGCAATCGGCTGTGCATTAATGCAGTACGACCTAGAAGGCGTTGAACGCGTCGTCTGCTATCAGTCGCGTCAGCTGCAACCAGCTGAGCGGAACTATCCAGTGCATGACAAGGAACTCCTTGCCATGAAGTATGCACTCGCGAAGTTCAGAGTCTATCTATTAGGAGATAGAACCTTCATTGTTTACACTGACCATGCGTCATTACGCACGGCAGTGAACAGCCCGCACCTTTCACAACGAATGGCGCGGTGGTTGTCATTCTTTGCAGAATACAACTTTACGGTCGAGTACAAACCAGGACGACTTAATGTCGTCGCTGATGCACTCTCACGTCGTCCCGACTTTGAAACAGTCGTGAAACCCAACAGTGAGACAGTCACTGTTGCGGTTATGACGTCCTCAGTCCCATCTACAACGTTGTATGATGATGTGAGGCGGGCATACGCCCAAGATGGTGAGATTGTGAAGTTGTTGACACATCTCTCCCAACCATCTCGAGAATCGTTGAAACGATTGTCGCCTGTGTATCGATCTGCATCAGATCGATACACTACTCGTAACGGTTTACTGTATTATACAGCCGTTTCTGGTGACACACCACGTGTTGTCATTCCAGATGATACTGATCTGCGTTTGCGGATCACGTTCGAGTATAACGATGCTCCTATAGGAGGACATCGTGGCCGAGAGAAAACATATCTCACGGTGAGTCGAGACTTTTACTGGCCCCGCCAGTATCAGTTTGTGCGAAAGTATGTTCGCGCATGCGAAGTCTGTCAACGAGTGAAGTCAAGTCCTTCACTGCGTGCACCTTTACAGCCTCTACCGGTTCCGGCTGAGTGCTGGGAATCCATCTCAATGGATTTCGTCTTCGGGTTACCCAAAGACGCACGCGGGAATACGGGTATTCTCGTATTTGTTGACAGATTCAGCAAAATGGTACACCTTGTGGCTGTACCAGAGGCAATCACGGCAAGTGGCTGTGCTTGTGTCTTTATTGACACCATCTTCCGACTTCATGGGTTGCCCCGTGAACTCGTATCAGACAAAGATCCACGATTCACTGCTGATTTCTGGCGTTCCGTGTTCAAATCACTCGGAACGCGCTTGAAGATGTCGACATCTGATCATCCAGAGACAGATGGTCAGACGGAACGTGCCAATCGTGTCCTCGAAGAGATCCTTCGAGGATACGTACACTCCTTTAATAGTTGAAGTGAGTTTTTGCCAATGGTGAAGTTTGCCATTAACAAGTCGGTGCATGCGTCCACGACACATACACCGTTTTACGTGAATGGCTTGCGCCATCCGCGTGTACCCACCTTACTAGAGTGCAACTCTGGTTTAAGGGGGGAGGGACTAGCGCGAGCAAAAACCGATTTGGTTCACGCTCATCACGCTCTGACGAAGAGGTCATTGCGTTTGATGCCGATATCGATAACATCGATATCGAAGAAGATGATGCCAGTGAGAGCGCGGAAGCCCTCACTGAAGAAAAGGTTGATGTTGCTGCAGTGCGCTGTGAGCGCACTGCAGCTAACGAGTCATCAGATGAGTTCATACTGGCTCGTGAAACGGTAGTCCGTTTTGTGCAAGACTCCATCGCCGAAGCGGTGGATAAGCAAAAGCAAAACGCTGACAAGAATGGAAGGGCAAACACACTTATATTTAATAAAGGTGACTTAGTCCTACTGTCTACGGTTAATCTACCAAAGCATGTAGTGACTAACTTGGGTAGCAGTAAACTACTACCCAAGTACATCGGCCCATTTCGTGTATTGCACCGCCTAGGCAATGCATACACGATCGAGTTACCACGTAAGATGCGAACGCATCCCACGTTTTACGTTGGTCGGCTTAAGCCGTACCATCAGTACGCTGCTTCTTCCAATGAAGAACGCCCTTGCGCTCAAGCATCTCGCAGAGAGCCTTGTGCTCCCGATGGTGGGCATCAACAAGGGTCTGAAGAGCAGCTATCTCATCCCGAGACCGATCAACAATCCCACGAGCTACCCTTAGCTCGTCACGAAGAGATGTCAGAGATCTCTCGTTCTCGAGCTGAGCAAAGGCAAACTCAGCTCGATGCTTCGAGACAGTGTCCCCCATTTGTAGACGCCTGTCCCGCTCATGTTCGAGATCGTTGCGTAACCCTTGCGTTACACGACCAAAGAAGCTCTCGGTAACACACGGATCCCCATGATCGTGTGGAGAGCGTCTTTCCTCCTCCTCCACCTCCATTAGAGGACTCTCGCGGTGGCCAGCGCTATCTGGTTAAGCAGCTGTTGAACCACCGCGACGTGAACGGACGTCGGACGAGTTATCTCGTCCGGTGGCGCGGCTATCCCCCGTCCTGGGATACTTGGGAGCCCCGCTCCCATCTGATGGTTGACGTACTGGGTCTGGTTGAGTAGTACGACGCGGCACATCCTGTGCCGCAGAAGGACCGCTGGAGAAAGTCTTCCCGGCACGGCCGTAAAGGGATTTCAGGTTGTCAATCCCTTCGTACATCGCAGTAGAGATACGTACGCGCCATTACGGGCTATTAGGGAGGTAAGCCTCCTTAGGTGCTCGTGCAGAGTTGTTCACACAACACGGGCACGAGTCTCCCCAAGAGAGGCAGGGTAATCCCTTCTCCCTTGACAGACGATGCAGCTTGTAGCGTGCACCTGTCGGGGTCCGCTTTTCAAACTTATCACGAGCTTTGATAAGTTTGTCGTTCCAAGCGTCACGACCTACATCCTCAAGGTTATGGATATAGGCGTTCCACGCTTGAAGTAGTGAGGGACCATCACGCTTGTGATTCCCACTGTACCATCGATGTCTAAATAAAGCATCGATGAAGAATTCGTTTTCAGCGCGATAGTTTTTCGCGCTGGGGTCAAGGTGATGGATCCTTGACGAATCGAACAACCGTATTCGATAACGATCACTCGTCGTCGCCGACAAGTGATCCATGACGGATTTAGGAGGCATCCATGCCTTCTTCTCAGGAGCGAGACGCAACACATTGCGGTCCCGCTCTTCCTGCGACGTGCCGACAGAAGTACTGGCACCTCGTTGCGAAGTGGTGTCCATAGGAGAACCGACACCACTGTTAGCGCCCGAGTCTCGCGACCTCGAGCGCCTACGCTTCGGCGATGGTTCATCTGATTCATCGGATGAACCAAAGATACTGCGACGCAAAGCATCGTCCATGCCACGCTTGGTAGGCGGCTTGGATTCGATCGCCGTCGATACGGATCCGTCTTCCGTATCAGGAGAGTATGAGACACCGAGCTCATACTCTGTGAAGACAGGAGTGTCTTCATGACCAGCGCCTGCATCACCAAGTGACACAGGCTGGGTTGCTTCAGCAACCGATGAGACATCAGTTGCTGTGGTTTCTGCTTCGGCGTCCGCACAGAGACGTGCGGACGCGCTCTCGGCGGCCTTGCTCGCGCATCGCATGGGCTTGTTAACCATGCGATGAATTGTTGGAAAGTGGACTCGGACCAACAAGTGCAAACCCTGTCCCAAATGATTTGGGACGAGTATCCATTTAGTCAATCAGTCACTAAAGTGACTGATGGTTAAAGGGGGTGATGTAACGGGGTGAATCGTTACATAACAATTTATAAGAAATTGTTAATAGAATATAACTATAAGAGTTATATTCTCAGAATATTGTCATAAGGACAAATATTCTGTAGCACTTACGAGTAGTTCCTAATTGGTTGATATAGGCCATTATATCAACCAACGAAGACGCGCCACGACAGACGCACGCAATGAGTGGTGAGCAGATAGTTGATTTACACATTTGTATTTAGACATAGTTAGATGAAGATAAATAGTGATTTATTGCAGACATTAACTATGATAAATACAGTTCTACTTTTTACTCTAACCAAGTACTCGCTTCTTTTTACCGTCTTCCTCTGCACGTACGAGTGTACGTGAAGTTACGAGGCACCGCCTTATTCTGTCATCAGAATAAGTAGCTTGTACTGTCACCAGTACAAGCTTCAGGGTGCCCCGTTACAATTACGACATCATTCATGCCAAACATCTCACAGGCCGAATGGATTGTTCTGTGAGATAACTCGAGTAGAGTGACTAAAGCGACTCAAAGAGCACGGGCCAACTCATACATCGTGTATTCCCGGCGAAAAATATGTCTCTGTAACTTATATTTGATTCGTCAATTATACTCACATTAAGAGCATATCACTGACGCAAAAAAAGAAAAAGTGCTTATGCGGAGGTTACTGTAATTCCTATTTCACAAAATCTACCTGTCACTTCGGACGATGCTACCCGATTCCATCATGATAAATGCCAGGGGCTACCTTACGCTGACACTGATGGCAATGCAAGCTACATCTATTGATGAAAATGTAGACTGGTGCCTTGAGGCGCCACGTACACTATTTCTGCAGAGGAAAGATTATTTACTTAACGGACGATGGTTGAATGGAAAAACGGTACTGCAGTTAATATAGGGAATAGCCAGTTCCATCTCACCTGCTTACTATTTCCACCCCAGCACAAAGATGTGTGGCTAAAGCCCACGTTATACGGTACGTCGGTCCGGAGTACGACTTCAGCGGTTGGCAGTGGATAGAAGATTTGGTTTGCAATCCTGTGTCTTTACACTTGTGTAAATGTAGTTGCTACTATTGAGTTGCTAGTTAATTGCTCCAATGAATTTACTACATCCGTTTCCTTAGGTCAGGACACTCGTCGCTTTTTTTTCACTTGAAGTAACTAATGCCTTGGAACAGCCAGCAGCTATTAACACGTCGTGTCTCAAACAATCGAGTGATCATGAGGTCGATTCATCGAGAGCTACTTAAAATCCCAGAAACTAGACTCTTAACCCTACGTCTTACAATGAGCGTATCTCTCAGCAAATACAATGAAAGACAGAGTGCATACCAAGAACACATTCTTGAACAAGGCCACGTCCACTTCGAGCTGACAACTCCCTCATGCCATCAAAACGACCCAAAAGACGCGTAATGTAAAACAAAAATAGCAAAAAGACCAAACTGCTGTCCAACGAAATTTTTTCTCGTCCGCGTGACGCGGTATACAAGTTACTGCAAATTCACTCCCGGCGCGACAGCAGCAGCAAAGATCGACGGGTATTCGGCCGCAGCGTGTTCACTCTTGATCGCATGTTCACGGACGATCGCCGCTAGAACTTCACGACGCGTCAAGATACCATGTTGCGCCTCAATCTCGCGCAACTGCCGCTCCATCATGGCACAAAGCAGCAATTCGTCGTCAACCGCCGAACCTGCAAGTACCGGAGGGGCTGTAGCATGAATCAGTCGCTGTCGAGCCACCGGGTCAGCCACTGGATTTAGAGACGCGTAAGTCTTCGCATACATTTCTTCCTTGTCCTCCTTCTCTTCTCTTCACTTTTCTCTTGGATCGCAGGTAGCAGCAGGCAGGACGATGGAATCTCACAAGTGACACAGAGGACAGAACGTCACATTGAAACAGCGTCAAAGACACACACACACCCACATGCGACGGGACACGACGGTTAGAAGTTGAAGTTGGTGAACCGATATCGTGGTATAGTACGTACCCACTCTGTGGACCGAATCCACGACTCTGTGACCGCTTGACTGACTGGCTCACTTGGACCTGCACTCTTGGGACAAGGTCGACTCAGCAAACAAGGTCCTGGACGGTCGTCGTTCTTCGTATTGTATTGATTTTCTCCTTCTACTTTTCTCCTAGGTACTAAAATAAAAAACGCCATTCTCCGTGTCGTCCTCGAAAGGCAAAAAATCACCAGCCCCCACTACCACTTTCAAGGCCAATCACCCGGTCAAAAATGACCCGTCCGTCCTCACGTGCTTCGTTTGTTCCCGTGCGTCTCCAGCCATCAAAATCCGTAGTTTTCATCCCCAATTTCAACGAAACCCCACATTGTTTTTCGAAATTTCAGAAATTTTGAAAATTATTTCTCGACAGCTCGTAGCGAAAAACATCAAAAACTCACACGACTCCTCCACTGGGTTGACGACCGAGCAGCGAGTGGTTCCGGCGCTGTTCACTGTAGCTCGGGTACACTGCGTCACTGTCATTACTGACTGTTCGACTAAGTCCGTTTGTGGAAGGTACCGCCAATGGTACATTGCCCACCTGCTGTTGCGGGTACCCGACGGGTTTCGAATCCGAATTTTGGGTACTGTACACATTATTGTGTGGTACCATACTCGGCCCCCCGTGCATGTTTTGTGGCGTGGTGTACGGCTGCCCCGAATTTACACTAATCTGGGCAGGCGTCGGTGCTTGACCGTACGACTGTTGCGTGGCTTGGACGCCAAAGCCATTCACGGACCCCGTGCGTACAAATTGCGTCTGGTGCGTCCCCTGGTGCACGTCTGGGTCGACACTTTGCTGCATGGCAACGACCAAGTCCCGTTCGTACTCTTTGCGAAAGTACCGGATCTTCTCGGCCCGCCCGGCCGAGCTCAAATAGCCCGTAATAGACAGGATAATGACCGACGCGAGGCAGACCCAGAAACTGTAGCCATAGAACCAACAGTGCCATTTCGTGTTGTCGGCTTTGCAGCTTGTGTAGGCGGAACTGATGGTGTCAATTCCGTACAGAGTCTGTTGCAGTAGTGCACCCCAAATGACCAATGAAACGGCGAGAAGTAGAGCTAGGGGTAGGTCACAGAAACACATTCACATACACAGAACAGATATCAGACCACATGTAAAAAACCTCGAATCTGTAACAAACCAAACAACCATCGAAACAAACGCAAAAGAACGCATAAAGAACGCAAAAAAACAGCACTTACAGCCCACAAGCGTGCAGAAAGACACGACGCGCTCCATGTACCCTGCCGAGGGGCTAAACACAGCGCCAATGGCCGTGAGCAGCCCCACAACGGACACAGCCGCTCCAGTTGCGGTCGTTGCTTGTGCTGCCATCATTCGCTTGCCACACAAGATGTCGTGGAAGTCCGCGCCGTCTCCCAGCATATAGTTGGGAGTTATGTAATTGGTCACGCAAAAGTCGGTATACTGGAGCACCGTGGTCGACGCGTAGAAAGGCGACTCGAGCGAGCTGGTCGAGTAGAAGGCAAAGAGCCCGTAGCCCTGGTACACGTCCTTACCGTCGCGACGGTAATGTTGCTGGAACCACGCGGGGTAGACCATGGCGTAGAACGCTGTCCCCACAGAGACGAGCGAGAGCGCGACGGCTATAAATAACAGACGCGAAAGCAACGTTAGAAACAGCGACGCGTTCGATTCAACGATACACATAAAAAACATGCGTTTACAGAGTTTTGCTAACGCGAGTGTACACGACAACAGCGGGCCAGGACGTACCGAGGAGCGTGTTTTTCATAATCATTGCGGCAGAGAGAGTGCGACGTCCGTGCGCGGAGCGACAGGGGGGACGTGGACGAAAGGAAAGGAAACGAAGGAGGGGTTCGAAAAGGAAACCAAGTGTTGCCGCTTACTGGCGCGTTTTTGTCGAGGTTGCTTGTAGGCGGCTGCAAGAGTGACGGCTTCGTGCCTTCGAGCGTTATGTAAATGTTGTCCTGCGACACCACCACAGAAAAAAAAAGTGACTTGTTTATAGTGTGCCAAACCCTGGGATCAGAGTGATGGTCGATTGGACTCCCGTTTGACTAGAAGACGGGAAAGAGAGGGGAAATGTGAGCCTTTTGTCAGAGAGATTCTGGGGGCCAAACTGACTGGATTTTTGGGCCGGCCATCGAACGGACGGACGCCGCTGGGCACACCATCCCGTAGCAGTGTGTGATGGGAGTGAACGGAAACCGTCAAAAGAGGGTGGAAATGCCGCAGCTGACAACGCGAGAGGGTGAGGGGATACCTTGTTTTGAGAATTGCAGCACCGTGTCGATATCAGTGACAGCTGTCAGTCTCACCGTCTTTTGATACTTGTCTTCTCTTTGCGCACTGGTTTTTTGATCCGTTACCGGTAATGGTCAGTGAACAAATGAGATTACGGTCAATGAGTCCAACGATTTCCCACCCATCTTTGTCACAAGCCAAACATCCTTCGGCAACGTTCGATCTCGTCAGTCCGAGCCAAGTTTCACTGCTCGCGCGTAATCCGTACCGGTATACCAGCAATATACCACCACCAACCTCTACTCTTGTAACCTCTTCGTTGGAGATTAATTCTTGTCAATTGATTACGTAGACACTGACATCAGCCTGTGACTTCCAAGTTTATAAACTCGCATGGGATTTCGATACTCAGCTCAAGTGTAAAGATCGACACTCGCTGAATATGAGAAGCTCTGTATTGCATCCCTTTTCGCATACTACGTAAGTTTGCACGGGGAGGACCAACCTAGCAGTACGTGAGTGTGCCTAATGCTCTATGCATGCGCCAATTGCATTGACAGTGTATCACATTGACAGTAGATTCGGTTGTGTTCGTTACCTGTCCAGCATTAAGTAGTTGTAAAGTCCACGTCTTTGATGAGCGTAGATGTAAAAAGCAGCAATCAAATACATGGGATCATTGCCAACGGGGTCATAAGACACGTTCGTGGCGTCAGTATGAACGATCAGTTCATTGATAGTCTTTGTATTGTTGTCTTTGACGTTCTGCTTCACACGATACTCATAATCTACACCTTGTTCAGCTCAAACTACTGCTTCATTACCAGCATCCTGTGAATCCATCACGGTAAATTCGACAAGGTCTTGCAGAGATGCGTCAATCTTTATCTATTCCGTTCATGTGTAGACCATGAAGACAAAGCTTGGACTGGGATACGTAGAATGCGACCGAAAGAAACCGCACTCGCAGCTCGTCACGCTCGGGCATCTCAATTTTGTCATTTTTATCCTTGCTACACCTTCACTTTCACCTTCTACTGATCTACTCGGAATGCTTTCCGACTCGGTGCCGCGCAGCCGTCATCAATCTGCTTTGAATTTATTGCTTTCTTTACAAAGAGCTTCATGTGGGACCCGTGAGATGATCCTGGTCTCGCTCATTTCTTGCTGCGAGTTGTTCGAATCTGAATCATCGCTCGGCATTCTCAGTGTCGTTAAGACCGTAAAACTGGGCGAAGAGATAACTGACCACCGACCATTAACACCACTTCGATGCTATTACACGCGCAAATAAAGATCGTAAGCTGTCAGCAGGCTCGTTCTGACCGCCAGAGCGCAGTGTAGGCACAACCGACTCTTTTTTATCGCTCGTCAATATCTGTAAATTTATAGTCATGCTAAGAATGAAGAAAAGAGGGATTTCTGACGTGACGCTCTGGTATTGAGGTCGGACAGCGTCAATAAAGCTGTCGTTTTGGTGTTGTCTCGTAGCTTCAATGAACACTAGTGATGCTCGAATGCTAGTTACAGTATCCGTTGCAGCGGTCTGATTCAGTCCATCGTACAATTTTCGGTATCTGAAACCAAACTCGGGAGCAAGAAACGTCGATCGCTTGGAAATTATCTCGCGTGCTGACTGCATGTGAGCAGTTTGAAGTCTTGGGCCGCACTAGATCGATCCATTTGCATCATGTACTCAGTCCCGCAAGCCCAAATAATCTCCTGGTAGCGATGTGTGGACATGTACCTGTCATTTCTTACACCAAGTCTGTCTACATTTAGGAACCTAGAAAGACAATGATGATAAATGAGCAACAGCTCAGAAAATCTAGACCTCGCTCACTGCTAACGTCGGTAAACTCAGTTGTCGTAGCAGAATCTCGGGTGGCGCATACGTAAAAGCTATAGTACACGATTCACATGTCGATCAAGACTGCTCCAATACTAGTCGATTGGTCAACGAAGCATGGCGTAGGGAGACTGGCGTATAATGCGCTCTGAAGAACCATCATGAGATCTGGTCACGTTGCAACGTGGCGCAAAAGCGAATGCATGTTTGCGAAGTAATTGGACTAGACGTTGGAATGATGATCTGCGATGATATCAAAGTATCGGACGAGATGACAGCTCATGACGAAGGACTGCTGCTTTTCGCCTTGCAAAGGCGAGACTCACGCTGATTTGACTGATGTACACATTCAAGGCTTTAGTATTAATGGATGGATGCAGTGAGTGAGGCTGCAGCCAGCAAACCGACGTCTATCATAGTGAGATGCGAGATCAAGACATCGCCGTCATAATGATGATGCGATCAACCAGTGGAAAAAGTGCTCACTTACAGACGATGATCGAAACGACGCACGTCGTCAATCTCTCTAGAAGAAATGATGGTGATGATGATGATGATGGGTTTTAGGCAGCAGATTCGCTGTCATTGTCAATGTGTTCAACAAAGTACCACTTGACGGCTGAAACGCTGTCGCCAACCGAAGGCGAGAGTCATAAGTTTGGCCTGATTCCGTTGAAGCGTCGTACTAGGGTTCAGTAAACAATCTCAGGTCGAGCCGTTAAGTGGTGAAGATGCCTGATCCCACCAAACGCATGGGATCGATCGATCGAGCGATCGAGCTCCTCCCAATGTTCTCGTTTACTACTCCACTCACATACAAGCAGCACCCTACAAAGCCAACGGATCTAGCCTGGGATATGTTCGATCCGAAAAGTTCATCGGACTTCTTCTAGACAATCGTCGCACGGACGAAACGGAAGTTGAGCAGCGCACAATTTATCGCCACCTCCTCATTTAGCCACACTCAATCAATCCATAACGAGGTCGTGTAAGTTTACAAAAACTCGTCCAGTCGTAGATCGGAAGTACATACTCCTCACATTATTCCCTCAGTTGCAAGAATCACATGCATAAGAAAGTGGATTTTATCGGCAGTCGACGATTCCAGCAGCTGCTAGCACTAACATTGCGGTTCACCTCGAAAAAGTATTGAATTGGCCAGGATCAAACGTTTCCACAGCGTTTTTTCGTCAGTATCTCGAGCGTTTTTGCCACTCGGGAGATGTCACACTCTCGATTCCCACACATAAACTTTGAGGGACGGAGGGGGTGAGTGAGTGAGTGAGTGCGTGACATTTGATGATGTTGATGCCGGAACATGCGACGCGACAGTTGACGCATAAGACTTATCCAGCAATTAGTCGTGCCAACTCTAGGCGTAGAACGGTCAAGTTAAGTAAACCAAGCGGCAAACTCGCCAACGCTTCCATCACTCCATCTGTCAGTCTGTGTCACTCAGTCCTTGCTTGCTTGTCGACGCCCATTACGCTCTTTACAGATTCCAGAAACCCTCGAAAACCAAACGCCGAGCAAAACCGCCTGTACATTTACTCGCCTCCTCTTCACGCAGGACCAGCTCATTGACAACGACGACGTGATTGTTCTTCATTCATTGATTAGCGATCTCTCCGTTCCGCGCCCCTTAACGACCTCGACGTCTATCACCTTTGGTTCGATGTACCCTTCGGATCCCAGCTTAACTTCGAGCGACCGCAGTGGTAACTCGCTCTTCTCTCGGGTTCTCGACCCCTCGTCCAAGTCTTTCATTGACTCGAGTGACTACCGCATGCCTCTGTATTCGCGACAACCTCTTCAAAGCACGAACCACCGTCGTCACCTTTTGAACACTGGTATCCCTAACCAAGGGTATGCCAACAAACTTCCAGGGGTTGCCACTCTACTGAGACGCCGTGATACGGCCCAAGCCATGGACTCAGTTCCTTATGTACCTCCTATCAGCTACGACTGCCAACGTTCTCGACTTGAGACGGGGATTCGTGGTGCACCCGAGTGCTGGACACCTCCACATTTAGTTGGAAGACCCCAAACAATCACGTCCCCTGCTTTCAAATGGGTACCTTTGACAGCATCGTTGACCCCAATCCATGACTACCGCGTCGATGACAGGAACCGCCATGACGACGAGTTTGTGGCGACACCTACCAGTGATTTACAGAAGAGTCAACCGGACGACATGGACATGTGCTTATTATCGTCCGATATTCGGTCCCCGGAACCTGCTCGGAAATACAGTGACTTGCAGCCTAAAAGTTCCCGTTACTTGCGTGAGATTGACCGTCGCCGCATTCTGATGCGAATTGCGCAAGGCGAGAAACAGTCGGCACTGGCGAAGGAGTATCACGTCAGTCGCGCCGCTATTTGCAACTTGAATAAACATCGGGCAGAAGTGCTTTCACGCAATTATGAACATCCACTAGCAAAGCATCCGAAGCGGAGGATGGTGACGAAAATGCAACCGCAAGACATGGGGGACCACAACCAGTGGAGCGACGCTAGTAATCGATAGGAGAATCCTTATGGTTTTATATCGATTAGAAGACGACATGGCGAACGAGTACGTGTCATAGGAGCACATTAGAGGAAGTTCTACGTGCATAACAACGATGAATTAGTCGATACTGCTATTGCTACTATGCATTTCGCTTGCGCACCTACGTGTTTACTCTAAGGTATTTCATCTAGTAAATAGACTGAGTCAGATCGGTCGGTCGGTCGTCGTCAGATTCTAAAAGCGCATTCCGTCCACTGCAGTGGGGAGTATTGCTAGGATTGTTGACACGGCATTGTATAATTGACACGTAACTGTTTATTGACAACTATCTTGCGGAACATTGCGGCAATTGTACAAGGACGGAAAGGCGTGTGTTTCGTCTAAATCGAAATTATAAACGGAGGTCTGATGTGAAACACCTATTTTTACGAACACTCTACTTCGCGCACCTCACTAGGCTGCTAGTTTCGCCGACGTCATGTCAGTTTAGGATGTGTAAAATAAGATACCGAACCACGCGCCATGTTAGTGTATTATCATTAACTGGAATATTGACCCGTAACCCTCTCTGACCAGATCGTCTTGCTCTCACTTATGCTTTACGAGCCTCGGGCACACGGATCTGCACACGAACCGCATGTTGTCCCATCATGCTAATGACCGACTGCTTGTTCTGCTCAAACTCGGCCCTACAGCGATATATCAGCATAGTTGTGGTTAGTCCACACGCACACATTATAACAATTACTAAAACATACTGCATCTTTGTAATGGCACGCGCGGTCTCCTCTTCCAGAATGCTCGGATCGTCTCCCATTAGCTATAAAAGGCCGTGTAATATAACAACCAAGAAACAAAGGTACAACAACGCGATCAATGTACCCAGATCCAGCGTTTCCTTTCCCTTTTCTCTCCCACAAAGTTACGTCATCTTCGGTCATTTCCCTTACGTCATTGTTGCTGCTCATTTGGAACGATTGTTCCATTTGATTACGGTATGCCGTGATCTCGGCCTCGGCCTCGAGTTTGGCCTGTTTCAGTCGCTCGCCACGTTCTAAAAGTTTAAATTAGAAGATTAGAAGTGTTCGTTCTGCTCCTTCCCTATTCTATCATACAGTTGACACGTATTGTACCTTGACGGGCATCACTGATGATCTTGGACGCCTTGGTCTCGGCCGCCAGGAGCTCCTTGATGCTCTGGTTCGCTGCCATATCTTCTCGATGTTTTCTTTCTCGTTCGACTTTTCGACAACAAAATGGGCACACTTTTTGTACCTAATGCTGTGTGATTCGTCAATAGTCGAGCGATACGAAAGCGATTGGATGAAATAGGGCTGCTCACCGAACATGCGGCATTGTCACGCAACTTTTCCCCCACAAATATTACGAAAAGAGGCACACAAAAAGACATCAGCAAGAAATCGAAGCTTCGTTCGCTTCACTTCCACTTGCTTTTCTCCTGTAGTTGCTCCTAGAAAAAGCAAGCAAAGGTCATTCACTACTCTATCGGCATATACTGGTTATCCGCATTGGTGGTTTCCCATTGCGACAGCACCATAATGTCGTTTCTGAGGTCGACAATACGGCCTTGGAGCTCCTCGAGCTCTGCTGGGTCAAACTTTCGCTCTTTGCTCAGCACGTGCACGCGCTCAGCATACCGCTTCTGCCATATGTTGCTGTAGGTTGCATCCTACAAGTGCAATAAGGCACAAGAAAAACTTTATCGTTCGTTGATAGTGTCCACTTGTAAAATGCAACATCGAAGAACAAAAGAATGTGCGGCAACACGCACCTTCTTTGTAATGGTCGAATAGAACGAGTTGCCCAGCACGGCCGTGAATCCGATAAAGTACGTGATTGGCTCCATCACGTCCCACGAGTACACGTCCCATACACAGTACATGAGTGTTCCATAGAATCCAGTGAGTCCCGTAAGGGCCACCCACTTCTGGGCATTTGGCAGACGACGCGCAGCCACGTGCACGTCCGTCTCAATTTGCTCCAATTGCGCCAATGAAGTCATTAACGCTGCAACTTCGCGCTCTTTCGCACGTCGATGATGCTTGATGTTGTACATCTCCGAGTCCAATGAGTTCTTTAGCGTCAATAAACTTTCTAAACTCTACACCAATCATCAGCAACATCACAATCATACACACTCAGCTATCACTTCAATTTAAGAAACAACAAAGAAGAGAGACTATCGGCACGTACATAAGGTCGTAGAATTAGTGCATTTTCCAGCTGTGGGTGCCGCGACCGGTCAAAATGCACCACCAAATTCCGGCGTTGAAGTTCTTGTAGCCATTTGGCTGCTACCACTTTTTCGGCCCCGGCATTGTGACAGAGCCTGTAATATTCAGGCAGCGGCAACTAGCAAAGAAAGGGTGAGAAAAAGGGTAAGAACGTTCCCAAATCAGCCCCTACCCCTACTAAACAAAAAAGATGCAGTATCCAGCTCACAAGAAGTCGTCGGTCTTTCTCCATCGCCGCTTTGACGCTCGCAAATGCAGCGTCCTCTTCGTTGAGTCTGGCGTCATCCGTCGTCGCCTTGTCGCTCTCCACCAGCACATTCACGTGGTTCAATCGAAGACAGAACGTCATGGATGTAAGCGCCCCTAACCGCACGGTACGCGCGACTTTCGTGCCATCAAGTGTAGCCACTTCCACAACCCTAAGTGAGGTATCGGCGTGTCGCACGGCCTCAATGAGGTCCTGCACACTGGCTTGAGAGTACTCAAACCCGAATCGCGTGAGACCTTTTAATCCGGGCAATGGCAACAAAATATCCAATTGACCCGGGACTTTAGCGGTGTTGCGCACACAAAGTTGAGGCAGCGTCGAGTCCAGATGGAAGCGCGTGGCCGCCCGAGCCAGTAGCGACTTGGGGCCCGAGTGAAATGCGGACGCTGAGAACTGCGCGTACGAAGCGCGTACTAGCAAGGTCCGGAGAGGCCGCGACGCCATGAGGAAGCGGAAGTGGTCAGCGCGACGTCAGTGCGAGGACGATCGTTGCGTGCGTTTTCGCAGACGTCGTTTTTATCCGGATATTTGTCGTGCGTTTGCAGGTACAAATACCGGTATTGTCCATGTTTTTGATGCAAGCGTCGGACCATTTCGACATTCAAGTATCTCACAAAAAAGGAGATGCGACAGTTTGCAGCACTCTAAAATAGGAACTCTCGCTATGTGGACGACGTTACTGTAACAACGTTCTCGCACGCAGCAGAGTAGTCCCTGACAAAGCCGCTCGAGCCATTTCCAGGGACCAAAGTCCCACGACAATCACTATAAATCCATGGAGCTAACTTCTATCGTCCACCGAGACAAGCCAAGACCCCGCTCCCTCTCATCCCCACAACCACGAACAACACGAAACCAGTTGACCACCATTGCTTGCATCCTATTCAGTCCATTCATTAAATCTGAGACGGCAGTCGATTGCGTCGTGATGAAGAAGATGATGATGTGGTTGTCTTGACCGGCGCGTTCTTCCTGACACTACGAACGCGCTCGCTCTTCACATCCCTCTCTCGTGTCGGTGCAACCCCTTCTGCAACTACCTCTTCCCTTCGACGCGAAGGTGGTAGCCGAGAAGAGGTCACCACCACCGGTGGCTGCGAGTGAACAGTCCCTTGACATTTCGCATTCCGAGCGGGAATCGGCAGCGGAGGTTCCAAACGAGTTGCAGCACTAGCGACATACTGCATCTCCCCTGCTCTAGCAGCAGCAGTAGCAGCAGTAGTTGCAGTAGTTGCAGTTGTAGTAGGACCTTGTCGACTCGGTTCCCGTAGACAAGCAGCAGCTGACGGGTCAAACCCCGCACGTCGACTACTCATGCGAGCAGTACCTCCAGTCCCTGGACCCCGTATCTCCTCTTCTCTTGCAGGTCGTCGAGTGCCTCCTGCATTCACAGTGTGGAACCTCGATCCAGTTGTGGTGGCCCCCTCTTGTTCATTCGCCCGTAGCTTCTGCTCTCGCCTCCAGTCCATTGGGTTCCCACCACTCACTGCATTCGTTCGCGCAACACTCGTTGAAAACGGCGCCCCGTGCGTCGCTTTCAACGTCCCTCCCAGTCGCATCTTGACGTACATTCGCCATGCAGCTGCAATGATCACGAGCACCACCAACGTGGCGAGGATGATCGCGCCAATGACCATCCACGGTTGCCAGAACGACGTCTCCCGTGGATCTGCAAACGTCACGGACGTCGAGGACGGCGTGGACGACGCCACAATGGAGAACTTCTGACCCGTGGTTGTTGCATTCGCGCCTGCTTTGACACTGTAGCCACTCACGACCGCTTGGACGTAGATGTATCCGCTGTCGACCTTCATCCCGGCTTTCGTTACAACGGCAAAGACTTCGTCGTACGAGACTTCGACCATCTCGACGTTGTTGACAGAGTCCCGGGACCCGTTCCCTGATAACGGGTAAAACAGAGCCGACGTGTTGGCCACTTTCAAGGTTAAGTCGAGGTCATTTTGCAAGGTCAGCTTGCTCCCAACGGATCCGGGAGGGTCGGTCCACACTAAAGTGACGCGCAGGTTCACGCTGGCTGTCAACATAAAGTGGAACGTCACTTCGCTGCCTTCCAATACGCTGGGTTCGGAACCAGCAGAAGAGTTGGGGAAAAAGTAGATCGAGTTGCTGCTGGTGGTGGAAGAAGATGCAGCCGAAGCAGTGGAAGCAGTGGAAGATGACGACGAGGACGAGGAGGAAGGTCGGGAAATCACGTCGTGGCCGAGAAACGACACGAGGTTGAGCATTGTTGGTTTCCCGTATCCCTGGTTGAAATCCGGGTACGACGACAACTTCACAGCTCCAGCTTCCAGCGCAACGCACGAAGTGACTCCGGTAGTTGGTTCCATGAGACGTCGCGACAGGGCTTCACTACTATGGAGCAGCAAAGCTTTGATCAAAGAAGCGGGAATTGTGTCCATCCCGAAGGTCGGATCCGCGACACCATTTTTCCACCATCCATCCCGTAACCATTCGAAAATGAGCACTGCCATGCCAGCAATAACCGGCGTAGCTTGCGATGTTCCTTGAAGGGGACACACAGCAGAAGATTTGACTTTCGAGCCAGGTTGTTCCGACTGGGACGAGATGATGGACATTCCAGGGGCAACTAAATCCGGTTTCAATCGACCGTCCAGTGTCGGTCCAATCGATGAGAACGACGCGACCGTGTTTTCATTCAGAATGGATTGACACGGAGTCGATGCGAACGAAGCGGCGGCATTGAGACTCGCACCAACCGAGATGACGTTCTTCGCACCGGATGGACTACTGATCGTAAAACTGCCTTTTTCACCACTATTCCCCGCTGCAACAACAATCAAGATCTCGGGGTTGTTGTAAATGTACTCGTCCACTTGCTCGGTCTGCGTGTTGTAATCGTTGGCTCCAGTACCCCAGGAGAAGGAAAAGATACGAGCACCTGTGTCGACTTGGGCTTTCATGAGGTTCGCAACCTCACCGGGTGTTTCCAGTGACACCTCACATCCACTCATCCCAGCACAAGAAGCGTCCTGCTTTCCAATATCCATGAAAGCGATTCGAGCACTGGAAGCGATCCCGAAATCGCCGTGCAACTTGCTGTACGAACTGCCTGCTAAAACACCTGCAACGTGTGTACCGTGGCCACACGTCACATCTTCCGCTTCGTCCACATCGTTGGCAAACGTTTGGTAGTAAATGACCTTGCGAGCAGTCAAGTCCGGCTTGTCGTACATTTTCCGGGATTCCTGGTCAAATTGGTCGTGGTCAATGTAAAGTCCCGTGTCCGTGATCCCAACCACAATGGAGCTGCCCGTGATATTGTGCTCCCGCATAATGTTCACGCCCATCAAGTCCTGAACGTAGTCATCCAGTCGTCGACTTGTGTGCTTCGTGCTCACCTCCATTTGCCCAGTCTCGTCAAGAAAGCTCTCGCGCAATAGACGCTGCTCCAAAGTTGGTACTTTGAGTGCTTGAAGGGAACTTGTGGTAACGACCTGCTGCAGATCGACCCACTCGACGGCCTCGTCATCCAGCACAAGAGCTAACACCTGTGTCCACGTGGTGTAGTCATCCAATGCCGTTTGCAGCAATACTCCTCCAATATCTGGAGTCGAGCTCTGCATCGTGATCAAGTTCTGGATCCCTGTTGCTTTCGTCACTCGAGCAGACAATCGATTGAGTGCTCGTTGCGTGTTGACCACCTTGGCCAGGCGAATTTCAAGTGCGGGTCCCTCTTTCGACTTGGACGTGTCTCTCGACAGCGCATACGAACTCTTGGCAAATGGCATCAATTTGAGAATCGGTGGCAACACCGTGACACTCTCGACACAAGACAAAGCCAGAATCTCGTCGCCAATTGCGGCACTCACGTGCACCAAGAGAACGGTCGCCATGGCATTGTCCTGGTCACTCCTGGTCAAAAACGGCGTGTGGCTCTCGCTCGATGCGGGCCAAATGTGTTTAATCTGCTTCAAACACGTCAGCTCGTCACTCGACGCATTCAGCTTGATCAACGACGGTTTGATCTCCATCACATCGTCGTCGTCCATCAAGTCGGCCGTCGCGTACGTGGTGAGCAACTCCTTCTGCAGAAACTGCAACTGGCACGCGTCAAACGTCGCGTTCGCACCGGCCAGCATGGCGTCATAAGCTGTGGAAAACGCTTGATAAAAGCCAGCAAACTCGTCTCGTTCCGGGTCCCCGATGCTCAGTGTAATGTCCGTGACACTCGCGCACGAGACGACGCTGATGATCGTCACGTCCTTGCCATCTTCATCAGCAGCATGAACGTCCCCGACGACCGCAGCTGCTGCTTCGTTGCTATTGCTCTGATCGCCAGTAAATGCCACACTCGGACGTAAAAGACGTCGAGAAGGAGACGCTAATGGACTCTCGACGGTACCAAGCGACGCGCCACAAAGACTCTCGAGACATTCCGATTGTTCCCGCAAGTGACGATGCGCCTGCGTCACATGTACGTGACTGCAATGATAGGCACAGAAAGCGTCTCGGGAGACAAACTCCAGGCCTTTCGAGTCCACTAGAGCATTCGCATTCGCTCTTGTCCCGACCTGAACGACCGAAGCGGCGCCAGGAACGACCGCCGCGAGAAACAAGAGCAACGCGCTGTACATGGCCTGACGATAATAGTAAACAGAAAAAACGACAACGAGAATGGGGATAATGGGGTCGGAACGCTTGCTCAAGACCGAAAGTCTCAGTACATTACGGACGTTACGCCACGAACGACAAGACGCTCGGCGCTTTTACCGGTGCGTTGACAGCTGGGCTGAAGTTGGCCCGGTTCTGTCCACCATCCTGGAGCTCCTGGGGTGATGGGCTGGCCTGGTTTTGTAGCCGATTGTCGTCGGTTTGTCGGTGGAGCTTGTGAGAATGAATATGTAGGGGATCGGGGGTCTGGCATAGAGAAGGAAAGTGAGCATGATCCGGTGACGAGCTGCGATCCTGTGAAAATCGATGCTGGACGAGGCCAGTAGATGTCGAACAAGTCAGTGCTGCGGCTGCTGGAGAAAGCGGAAAAGAAGTCGTTTTCGGTTCTTGTTGGGTAGATTCTCAGCCGCCGACGACCGGATGATGTCGTGTGCGACTTGAAGAATGGCAAGATGTAGTCTGGACGAGTTTCTCGACAGGCGCTCGGGTATAATGCGATGAGTTTACCATGGGAATTGCAAGTAAAAATGCACGTTATAGGCCAAATGCTGCTGTAGTATTGACCAAAAGAGCAAACGTCGTTGACTTTTACGGGAGAAAACGTTCCTCTTCTTCTGCGTGTCTTCATCTCACTCTTCCAAACTCTAACGTAGCGGGGAGAACACCTGGCGGTTTGTAGAGCATCTGTTTGGTCTTTTGGATGAGTGTCCGTTGCTGCCCATGAACAGGATTTAGTTGCGTGATGATTGACACAGCGATAGGACTCAAAAAACGTGGTGAAAATGGGTCTTGTTGACATGATCGATCGTTCTGCATGACATGGCGATTAGCCAATAGCGGGTAGGGCTGCCGTCAACCTGGCTCGTCTGCCGCAGAATTTTTACAGGCGACGTCAGAAGACTTTCTGCCTCCCATATGGCGAACAGGAAGCACTGGACAATCCGCTGGAAAGTGCATGGCAAATAATACGAGCTTTAATCCACATGAAGATGTTTGATTATCGAGGCGTTTAAAACGCCTAGTTGCCACAACTTTTGAGAGCGCATTGGATACTTGATTGTGCTATTGGCGGCACTGGGTTTTGCCCGGTTTGATTTTGCGTAATTACACAAAGCAGTCAACATTGGGTACACCGGATCGGATATTATCCATCCATGCTGGTTGCGGCCATGCAGTCGCGCGACATAATATCCCACTACAATGTAAAGAAAAATACACATGCAAGTGCACACAAAAAACAAAATATCAGCACAAAAGTTGCGTCCCGCACCCACTGAGCGACACAATCCCCGCCCAGCCGCGTCGACCCGTAAGTCGGACTAAGTACGCGTCCTCCTCCCCGTAAGTTCGTCTCAGGTGCACCACGTCCACCCAATTTCCCGCCATTCCCGACCGACCGACCATTAAATCCGCCTGCAACACACCACCATGCGACATCTTCTTCTTCCGCTCCGTGTGCGTCCGTCGCTCGCATTCCAGCGCTCGCCCATTGCAGCGAACATCGTCTGCGTCTCCTCTCTCTCCTCCCGTGACAACGACAGTGTAATTCCATCTGTAGCCTCCAATCGATGCAACAACGTGCAGATATCTCTCACGCCCGCGGAAGACGCGCTGTTTTCGTTCCTCGAGTACATCCAGCGTCTGTACACGCCCGAGACGCACCTTCGGGTTGCTGGGGGATGGGTCCGCGATAAACTTCGAGGAGCTCCCAGCGCGGACATTGACATTGCTCTGACCAACATCAAAGGAGTGACTTTTGCCCAGTTTATCCTGAACTTCCAGCGCGCTCGGAAGCTGCAGGTGAGTCCCATTGGCATTGTCAAGGCAAATTCCGAGAAAGCCAAGCACTTGGAGGTCGCAAGTGTGACTGTCCAGGACACGACTGTGGACTTTGTCCATCTCCGGGCTGAAGCCTATGCCGAGTCAAGTCGTGTACCCATGGTCACGTTTGCCTCTCCAGCTGAAGATGCATGTCGAAGGGATTTGACGATCAATGCATTGTTCTATAACCTCCATACGCGAGAGGTCGAGGATTTCACGGGCCAAGGCGTGTCGGATTTGTTGACGCACCGGATCATCAGGACCCCAAAAGAACCGGTGCAGACGTTCCTCGATGATCCTCTGCGCGTGTTAAGAGCACTGCGATTTGCCTGTGCATTTGGATTTACTTTGGATACTGCTCTGGAGAAAGCGGTGATCGAACAGCGCGAGATCGTTGCAGCGACGCGACGAAAAGTCAGTCGGGAACGCATTGGCATTGAAGTGCGCAAGATGCTTGCGGGCAAAGATCCAGCACGTGCGTTTGATCTATTGAGAACATTTGGGCTGCTTGAGCTCGTGTTTAGTGATGCAGTTGGTACGATGGACGAAGGAGTTTATGTAAATGGTGGGGCGGTAAAACGAGACGACGAGTTCAAGTATTTGACTCGCAAGTGGACCGAGGCAATGAAGGATCGGGCATCTCATTACCTTCATTATTTGCAGCACAGTCGCTTGGCGCTGGCAAACTGCGAGATATCAAACGTCGAGTCCACTGCTGCTATTTTGACGCCGCTGTTCTTGCCAGAAGTACCCAAAGTTGTCCTGGATATTCATTGGAAGAACGACGTCCTACTTCACGACGAGTTATGCGGAATCACCGAGCAAGACATTGTCGAGAGCTCACTTGAGTTCCTTGGACGCAGAGAAGAGATTGCGTCGTCAAGTGACTTTGTAGAAATTGTGGAGATGCTGAAAGTGCATGTAAAGTGGCCCAAGCCAGCAGGAAAGCGTGTGGCCTTGATTATTGAAGCTGTAGCCACGTATCCGACACGTGACTTGCCAGTGCCATCGTCAGGATTCGATCACGAAATCCAGCCATGCTCTGAAAGTGCAAGACTGAAGCATCGTGTGCAGCAGTTTATGTGGATGACGCAGTATCACTCCGTGATTGCGCCTGCACTGACAATCTTAGCAGCTGATTGCAGCTATGAGAAGCAGAATGGAGGGACCGCGGGTTTCGAAGGTCAGCAACAAGCGGCGCTCAAGTCGTATCTTGACATGGCGAATTCGTACGCCAAGAGTGGCGGTCAAGTAGACAAACCAAGTCCGTGTCGACGGATTGATGGCAGAACTGTCCAAGCTCGACTTGGATTAGGTGCTAAGAAAGCAATCGCCCACGCTCTGCGGGTCTTACACGTATGGGAAAAGGTTTATCCGAACGCAAGTCTGGAAGACGAGCTGGCGTTTCTTGATCGATTGGCTCCTCAATTGTGCGCTTGATCATGAGAAGCTTTAGCGATGGCCTTAGCACTAAGTCGAGCGACATTGAGCCATTGCAACTGGTTCTTACTTACCTGGGATCGTCCAAGTCAGATGCTGTCGTGGGTAACATCACGATCAGCTGATGTCTGTTCATTGTAGGATGAGTTGTTTGATATTCTCGCGGTGCACCAGCAACTTGCAATGATGGACGGCACTTTGTCACACTTCTGATGATTGATAGCGTCAATTACGCGTGCTATCCGTTTTTTTGTGAATGGAGAAGACAAGATTTTGTGCGCGTTTTCAGGGTGTGTAGACGTTAGCATTGGGATGTGATGGCCAAACCCGAATATAGTAGTTGACACGCGTTCAGTTGTGTGAGCGATGTCGGTCACAACAACTACAGAGAATGTATGCAGTGAAGACAAGCTCCGATTGGAAACATTGGTCTGAAGTTGTGCTCTCGTGGGAATGCGATCATCCAAGCGAGATCTACTAAAGCTTTTGGAGTATACGTTGCAAGTGTGCGTTGACATTGGATCCGGCTCGCAAGTTGAGCACCTCATTTAATTGGCGCATGTAAACTGGTGGCACGATACCACGCATCTTGTCTTTCGGCGGTGCGTCATCAGCTAGCACTTTCCATTGCAAGAAACCAATAAATGTGAGAGACTTGTGTGATTTTCGATTTTTGTGAGTTGATCCAGTTACAGTGAGAGCTTCGCGTGTCGCTTGAAGTTATTTTCAAGCGCTACTCGACATCCTGTCTGCTAGGAGCTTCAAGTACGGGCTTGGTGCACGCCAATCGACACTTTTCTGCTCTTGTCAGTCGAGTACTTGTGACCGAACCCGTGATTGATGACACTGTATGGATGCTTCCTACTTGATATCCACGACATGTTCGGACTTGCCTCTGTCGCCTGAGATCCTGAAGAGGCATTTTGGAGCGAAGGTTGCAACACCAGCACTTTGTATCAGTTGCAGCATGAAGTTACTGAGAAGTGATGACAGCACTTTCATTCTGCGTCTTCTGGAGATTTCTATACACCACACTTTGCCTGGCAATGTGTGACCGAATCAGCAGAAGTTGTAGTTCCAATGATGCTAAGAGGCCTGCTATTTGCTGGGGCATTGTACATTCACGTGGTGCAGTCGATGGCACTATCTAGAATGCCAATGTACCAATTGACAGATATCGTTTACCGTGATGCGATAAGGATATCTCGTCTTGGCTACTCTGCACTAGAACGCAGTATCCAAAGGATAGACTTTGGGCAGCTTAAAGATGTTTCGGGTTGCAGTGAGCTGAGCTCCACATGGTAATCACTCGATATGGCAACTTTGTTCAGGGGATTTGCACAGCCTATCGATTTAAGGTCTCGATTACTTCTTGCTGTTACACAACTCAAGGATCGTTCTCTGCATTGCACCTGTTTGTTTCTCGATTCGGTTGATTGAAGCGAATACGTGCATGCATCGCGTATTGTATTGGAGAGGTGGGGTCCAACCGATCCGCGCTGGATCCTCAGTGTCGGATTGTCACGATTCTTTGATTCAAGCTGCAACTTCAATAGCATTCATCGGTTGTACGTGAATCTCGATTGAGCTGGATGATCACGGAGTCCAAAGCATTCTTATCAACCGTATTACGAACGTCAGAGACGATTTGTCACCGTAAGTTCATGTTTAAAGCATGTAGATTAGCTACCTTCCATGAGACGGCTACAATCGGGTATATTGCTAATGTCACCATGTTGTATGATATATTTTTAGAGGCAAGACTCACTCGATCAGCTCAGTATCACAAAACAGATCGCGAGTCAAAGTAGATGCTTGCATCTATCGGTCGTACACACACAGATCTAGTTATACGATATCGTAAGTACAGTGATCGGGAACTTTGACTAGCTCGTTTGGTAGTCAGCAGGTCGCTAGTTTCTTCTCTTACGCTGCTGATCGATCAGAGTCTTGTCGATCATCTGTAGCCGAGGGTAACCTCAACGAAACCAGTAAATGTGATGCAGAGATTGCCCGATTCGAGTGTAGCTTCGCCATCATCGGTGGGTTGTTGCCGCTCAGCTTACAGATACTAACCACATCTCGATTTACGATCCAAATTCACACAGCGCAGCGAAAGGTTTTACCCAGAGGCAGAAGGAGACGGACGACTTTGTGTACTTCAAAGACTTTTCAATAGGGCGGTGAGTGCTTCGCTGATTGACTCTCGTCCGCTTGTTGACTTCACAACTACTTCCTTAGATCCCATCTCGCCTAAGAAACAAAGACCGATCCTCCGTGTAGATGATCCTCTTGATGAACCTGATGCATGCACGTAGGTATAGAATCTCACCAATTTCCGTGATCCGCATTGCAATGGTTGTGCTACTCTGCATCTAACAAGCGCTACTAGCGAACTTTCCACCGACATTGTTGAATTCCCGTGCGATGCCGTCCGAGATGGGAACATCTCCAAGTCAACGAGCTGCAAGTACTCGAGCAGATACTGTGACGTATTGATATTCATGGTAGATACGGTCTTGGTGACAACAAGGTCATACGAAGTAGGCTTGAGTCCGCTGTTTAACGTGAACTAGGACACGAAAACATGTCATGTCTGTCTCATGCGTAGCGCGGATACCTCTTTGCTCGCGCTGGAAGCAGAGCAGGTTTGCACTTTGAGATGGTTTCGATCGAGTCTCTTCATGAAAAGTGTTACGCATTGGCAGACTACACGCCCTCGGTTGAATTCGACAGAAGACGCTACGGGATGCCGCATGTAATTGACCTTCACGGAACCATCTGGCACAACGGACATCGATCATACCGTCTGGTTCCTGCCGGATGATGGAGCAAGCTGCTCTGGTATGCACAGCGAGGTCGGTAGCGTAATGTAGCTGACATTTTGCATTGTGAGTGTCATGCTGCGATGGGAATTTCCCATGAGATCGCTTCAAAACTAGATGAGACCGATCGACGGAGGGGGGCTGGACCACCTTGTCATGATGCTACTGACTGGTGAGAGGCGTGACGACCGCAACGAATCGTACGGAGATGAAGAACGTGTTAAATTTGTTGCATGTACACGAATGGCATCGTGGAAGCCTTGGTAGACTAGAAATAGGCGTGGGACGGGTACGTTGCAAGCACGTTGATATCCAATGCTTCCTATTTGAAAAGCTCTGACGAGTTACGATCGATTCGCGGTCCATGAGCTTAGCATGTATGGCTTCTGGTGAGCTGGAACACAGGAGAGCTTTCACGTCTTAACATGGCTCGGGGTCTATTGCTATGGTTACAAGCTTCCTCAAGCTGACGCTACAAACTTGATCGAGCGAGTCATGATAAACGCCCATTGTTGGTAGGCAGACACCTTCAGCTGAAGACTGTAGCAGCGACTACAGCAAATGAAGTGGGCGTTCCCAATCATTGACGCTGCGGTTGTCGAGTCGGGGTATCGCTGACGCATACGTGCAATACCTTTACGGTTCACCCTGATAAATCTCCACCTGCTCGAATCTTGAGATGTACAGCCCTTGGTTGATTTGATGGACTCATCCTTCTACCTCAGGGCAGAGCATGAGGTTTCGCTGCTTCCACAAGGTGGACCCAGGATGGATCGAGATGCTGCATGTCCATTGTAACGAAGGATCCGCTCGAGATGAGAGGATCAAATGGCGATGGAACGTCTTCTACCGAGACACGACTTTCCGGTATCGTCAACTCGATCAAGTCGGTCCTGTTCATGATACGAGCGAGCGATCGCTTTCGCTCTCGAGCCAGCAGCACTATCGCATATCATGTCAAATCCAACGATGGCCGTTGAGCGGTACGGCTTCGGTTCAACCCGACGGGCGACGATGACGACCAGTGCATTGACGACACCAGGTGGCTGTCCTATCGCCTTTTGTGTGTGAGGACTAAGATGCCAGTTGTCCATTGTCGCGCGGCTGTCCACTTGACATCGCGCTCGTACGACTGTCGCCGTTGCAACGGGTCTTTTGCACCTGATAGCCATTACGTGCCGACAAGAGGATTCTTTCGGTGCGGTCCTCTCTTCCTTCCGCCCACACGTTTCCACGCCACCGTCACATGCACCCGACGATATCTCATTTCAAGGGGGTGGTGGTCGGGAGGAGGGAGGGAGGGAGGGAGGGAGGAGGGGAAGGAAGCGCCACGACGCTTGGTCTGTACGACAAGACTGTTCATAGGTATAGAATGAACTCGGTAGATGCAAAGATAGCTCAGAGGAGCAACGACAAGAGGCTGGAGGAACGGAGTGTCCCGAGGACAATCGCTTTGAAGAGCGAGTGTTTACCGACCGCTGTAGCTGCTACGGTCTGCTGCTCAGCAGCTCCGTCCGTCGCTTCCAGTCGTGTGCGGGTTCTTTCACCTCCTCACGGACGCTTCTGTCTCGAAGTAGACGTTCCTGGACCACCTTTGGATAGCCTCGATGCCTATCTTCGAGCGCATCGAGATGTGCGAGGAAGCCGTGCATGCGTCCGACCCCCGCCACGTCCACAATCGAGCACCAGCCATTCAAGCCGCGCCCATCCGTCACCTAGCATCATTTTACCACATCGAGCCCCTGCAGAGCCTCAGCTGCTTCACGTGCTCGTGACGATGTGCAAGCGACGACTCGAGCTGGTCGCCTCCGCTTTGACCGATCGCTCCGCTTTTTCCTCACGTGGACAAGGACTAGCCACGACTACGTCGACATGAGCTCACGACGCGCCTCAAGCTGATGCTTGCTTGAAAGCGCCTGACGTTGTCTTCTCAATCGACACGAGCGCCGCTCCACGCCACAATCAAAGCATTAGCCAACGTATCCTCTCCGAAGGGTTCGCAGACCTGAAGCGTAGCAGTAGCAGTAGTACTTCCCTCACGTCCCACGTCGCACGCATCGTATCCAGTCACTGGGTCTCCGCTCTAGCTGCGACTTCCCGACGTAAGTATCAAGTCACCAGCTCTTTTCAACGAGACAACCAGCACGCAGGAGCCGCCGTCGGCGACCGTCAACTCCAGTCCGTCGGCTTTCAACTGCTCAGGTGAAGGTCCATGAAGCTGCGACCTGCGCGTGTCGCGCCTTCCGACCTATCGACAGCTTGGTTGCTCTTCACCGAGACGTCGTGCGATTGCACAGCCACGCGGTGCAACACACGCACACTGCAGGTGCTCGCTCGCTCATGTTGAAGGCGGTTGCAAGCCGCAAACCCACTCGATGGCTCGCGGACGTCCATCTATCTCTGCAAAGAAACCGTGTCGCAGTCGTCGTCCGTGGCTTGTCCAGGCTCTCGCACGTCCTTTCGGGGAGGACCGAGCGCGTTAGTCCACACGAGTGACCAAACAGCCAGAGCGGCTTCGAGAGCACCTGCACTTGGCACAGGATTGCTGCTTCCGGATGTGCTCGCGACCTAATGCGTGCGTCGTCATCAAGGTCGGTGGTGGTGGTGGTGGTAGTGGTGGTTCGGTCGTAGCTTCTGATCCAACCCCTTGAGTGATGCCAATCACGTCCGCGCTCTCGCTGTGCGACGGGTGCTCGCCACGAGATGACGGCCGATCGCCAACCGATTGATTCGGTGCGCCCCTGGGTTCGAGCACGAACGCATCGTCGACATGAGACCACGGTCTGTCTCTGACAGACTGTCCGTCCGTCTATCTGTCCGTCTGTCTATCTGGTCTCCACACCATTGCATCGCCACGAAAGAAGAGCGGGCGCGCGCGTGCAGTCGGGACGGCCGGACGACCCCATCCTGCCGGCACGACTAGGTTCGTCTCGCTATCCAGCTGCAAACGGGACGCCCCAGCGCGCGCTTTTGTGCGCGGTGCGTCACGAGAGCCAAGTCGAAGGATACTTCCCGTCCGTCTGTCTGTCTGTCAATCGCTCGCTCGCTCGCTCTTGCACGTCACTAGCTCCTCGATGAGTCTCACGCTGTGCGCCGTGTCAAGTCGCGCTTGATCCAAGCAAACAAACGCCCACTCGTTCCCGTCTCCGTCTCTCTTCAACCAGCAGCAAGCAGACGGACAATCGAGGTCAATCATCGATCCAAGCTCCTCGGCTGCTCTTGTCAAGGTGCGGCCGCTCTTTCTCCACCGAGGAGCTCCAAGCAGCAGAAACAGGGCGCGGCGAGACATCCGGCGTCTCGGTTCAACCATCTCCACTGGTGCCACGTGCTACTCACACGCTGAGCGTCGAGTAAACACCGACCGTACGTTTGTACGTATGTACGTATGTCCGTCCGTCCGTCTCGCGGTCTCATCTCTGCTGACCCAAGTCAACAAACCGCTTGCGCCAAGGGCACCACTCGAAAACAAGAGCTGCTGCCGCCATCACCTCACGACTGACAGCCAGAGGCACAAAAGAAGCGGCACGAACCCCGTCCGGACGACTGAAGACGCGCGATCGACAGCGATTTGGACGCGCGGGGTTACCATCTGCACTTCCGCTTTCGCCCGGCAGGACGACACACGTCGAACCGACCGACCTATCTACCTACGTCCATCCATCCATCCATCCGACCGGACGTGCATTTGTCCGACCGCCGGATACTCACTCATGGGACCGACGACCGCACGGCACACGCTCGCGGAGCTGCAGTTCCCCAGCTTCCTCACGCAGCTCAAAGCCCCTGGTGCACTCGAAGCGCCCATGCGGGTCGAACCTCAATGGGCGTCCTCAGCATCGTCGCCGACCAGCATCACGTCCAACCCGACGAACGGCAGCTCCCTCACAACCACGTCCCAGCCACTCCCGAGCTTCACGCTGGACCAGCAGAGTAGCAGCTACGGCTACGGTAGCAGCAACAGCAACAGTAGCAGTAGTGCCATTACAACCATCTCGACAACCCACGTGCCGTTCCGGCCGCCCATGGGGAGCCTCTCGACGCCAACGGGGTACTACACCCAGCACCTGCTCCCTCCACGCGACGGTCCGCCATTCACGTCGTCGTCGGCCGCTTCAGCTGCTTCAGCTTCATCGTCGACCTGGAGCGGTCCGAACTACACGAGCGACACGTCCGTGGTCTTTGGGGACTACGCGCCCCAGCATCTCCCTCCGCCACCACCTCCACCTCCTGCTCCTGCTCCCCCTGCTGCTGCTCTCGCTTCGCAGGTCGTCCTGCATCCCCTCGTGCTTCAACACAGCGAGCCGTTGCCGCGGTCGAACGACGACGACCTGGCCCTGGACGCTCAAATGTTGCGCGAGGTGCTCCAGGGCATGCCCACAGGCCAAACGCCCGTACCCAGCCACCAGCACCACCAGCATCACCACCACCAGCTTCCTCACCCCCACCACGCAGCATCGGGGCGTAGTCAGCCGTCCCCGATGCCCGGTCTCCAGCTCCTGTTTGCGTCGCCTCTGAACGCGTCGGACCCGACGCATGCGACGCTCGTCCCCGGGTTCTACAGCTCGGCGATGGCCCTAGCTTCGACTTCGGGTGAGGTGCTGTGCAGTCCGCCAATGTCGGTGGTGAGGACCGACCGGACGTCAACCGGCGTCCCTGACCCGGTGGGATTGCCTTCGACCGGTGCCGGGTCTTTGAGCAGCACTTGCTCGCCCTTGGCGCACGCTTTGCCGCGCAAGAAGCGGTCGAGCGCGACGCGCATCTGCAAGGTTGACGGGTGTACGAAAGGCATCCGGTCGAGGGGGCTATGCAAGGCGCACGGCGGCGGCCGCCGGTGCACGACCCCCGGGTGCACCACGAGCGACCAGGGCGGCGGTCACTGCGTTTTGCACGGCGGCGGCCGCCGGTGCCGGATCGAAGGATGCAAGAAGTCGGCGCAATGGCGCGGCGTGTGCAAGATGCATGGCGGGGCGCGACGCTGCCGCTATGGCCAGTGCACGAAGAACGGACAGGTGAAGCAAGGCTACTGTCGGATGCACCACAACCTCTTGACGGAGCAGCGACAGCAACAAGAACAACTGCAGACGCAGCAGCTGCAGCATTTACGGCAGCAGCAACTGCCGATGGGGGGCAAGATGCAAGGGACGGAGAGGGGCGGGAGCTAAGAGAGTGAGAGAGAGAGAGAGAGAGAGAGGTCGTTGACGGGAGGTCCGGTCGTACAAATGCTGGTCGTGTGTAAGTAATAAATGGGTCCTCTTCCTTGGGGAGACGCTCGATGCGAGATGGACGGAGTCGTGAATGGACCGACGGAAGGACGAACCTTGTGTGGTAAACCGCTCGTTCCTTCTTGTGGTGGTGGTTGGCGGTTCACTAGCATGTCACGTGGCGTACTTCCTGGTTGGAAATGTGAGTGCCTGGAATGCAGAATAGCTGCCGACCAGTACACGGCTTTGCTGTCATCGGTTATCAGCGACACCTTCCAGCTTTAGCGTCGGTCTCGACCACGAGCAGACTCGACCTTTCATCAACACGACCACATCTTCAACCTCCACATCCTGAACACAAATGTCCACGACGTGATCGAGGAGTTGACAGTGGCTCTTTTGCCAGCTGGTCCATTGGTTTGTCACAACGCCAGGAGCTGTCGCACGATTCTGTCGGCACGGTCCTATCTCGCTGGATTAGGAGTCGAGCTTCTCTGCGACAGTGAACAAGTCTCCTTTGGCACCTGATGGAGACTTCGGATACTTCTGCAGCCGATTACAAGACGTCGTCAGGGTTTCGAAAGCTGCGCGAGGGGCTTTTGATTCAACCGTTCAAAAACGGTCGAGACAATGTCCCGGTACGTCTAACCCCAGTACATGGTCAAGCGATCGCTGCTGTTCGTCATTGTTGAAGTTGATTGTTCGAGCGTTCTTCGTGCTGGATCAGGCTGAAGTTGATGCTGTTCCAGGTTTATTCATCGGATCGTACGGGGCTGCCACCAACTTGGCAGCTCTGGTGAAAGCAGGGATCACACACGTCCTCTGCGTGTCACCTTCACTATCACTGCAGTAAGTGAGACCGTGGGACTCGTTAGGGTGGTGATACCGTATCTCAAAGCATCTATCCGATACTTACTGCATGCAAAGATTTCCAGAAACGTTTACGTACCTGCAGCTGAAAGTAGCTGATCAAACGTCAGTCAGTATCGCTGCATTCTTTGATAAAGCTTTCGCCTTCATCGACAGGTACGTACGTACGTCGTGATGTGACGTGATATGATCTCGTTCGACTTGACCATCGTTTGGCTTTTTTTTCTTGACTTGCATTGCTTGTTTCCTCCAGTGCGTTGTCTCTTGGAGGAAAGGTGCTCGTGCACTGCTTCATGGGACGTTCCAGGTCTGCAACGATCATTCTTGCGTACTTGATCACGCGTCACGGCATGACGCTTTCTGATGCACTTGGTGAAGTGCGTCGAGCACGACCTCAGGCACAACCAAACACTGGGTTCCACCGTGAATTGATCGCACTTGAAGCAAAGCAGAAGCAGATTCGTGAACAAGGACGAGCTTAACGTCTTTGTCTGGTAGCGCGTGTACTGTCACGAGCTTCCAGCATTTCAAGACCTCGGTTTTATAGCGGCTTGTAATAGACACCAGACGCCCGAGATGGAGGGTAAGAGCAATGCGTATTCACCCACTCAATAAACAATGCTTACCGACTCGCGCTTGACATCCGCTCTTGTAGTCTACATCATGACCGACCTTGGGTGGCGATGGACGACTTCAGATCTGCCAACGAGATGTGACTTCAGGTTGAGGAATGCTTTCCGAAACCCAAACAGATTCCATGTGGCGGTCCCGAATAGCCGATCCAGCAGCAGCAGCAGCACGGCTTGCCAGCAAAAAGGCACCAGAACCAAAGAGCACAAACCAGCTGCACGATACCTCTTTCCGTGAATAGACATTTGCTTTAAATGGACATCTGCTTACTCTGCCACCTGGAATCAAGCATCAGCATACGGATAGCAATACATTGTGCACGACGAACCTGCAGCGTGGATGCAGGCGGCTGCGTGGATATTTTTGCATGCGGCGACTGCTACATGATCATCGCATCTGTTGACGCAAACCTCGAGATGCCGCAAGTCTTTATCGATCCGCACCTCTCTAGCGACTCAAACTTTGCGTAGTTCTCTAGGCCACGGTAACCTGCTGCTGCTGAAAAGACATGCCAACCCAAGTGCCCACCATCAAAAACAAACTCATCGCTCAATCAAAGAGCGCGAGTGCATCTTCATTCAGTAGCTCCTTCTGTTTTCAACACTCTTCTGTCATCGGCCTCTTGCCTCCTCCTCCTCTGTCCCTGCTCACACGTTCACTGCATCCACTTCCTTCTCCACCACCGCCACTCTCGCCTGCTCGTCTTCTTCGTTTTCGTCTTCCTCAGGCAACAGTTTGTTGTCAATAAACTCGGCAATGGACTTTTCATCCCAGTGGGCAATGCTGTCAAAAACAACAACAAGACCATGACCATGAAAAACCACCACAGTTCACAGTGTCAAAAACGATCATCAGGTTTTTTTCATGTCAAAAATAAACATAATCAGTCAAAAAGCATCCTCCGCTTGTCAAAAAAAGCACCGCTTGTGTCAAAAAAGAGCGCGAACATGTACCTGATCTCCTCGACCAGCTGGTCCTTGTCAAAAAACTGCAGCATGGGCAGCCGCGTCTCCACCTCCCGCACTTCCAGTCGCGTCAACTTGGCAGCTTCGTGCTCGACAAAGTGCGCGACTTTCGGGTACCGTCTCCAGCGTCGTGGACTGAGCGCCAGGACCACGTTCGCATAGCGTTGGCCTTTGGCGTCGAGCCCCTTGGAAAAGTCCGAGCAGCATTCTTGACATTCTTGACCGACCGTGTCAAAAAGCTTTTTTTTTGACGCGCTCGACGAGGTCAAAAACGTCGATAGCTCACGGCAGAGGCAACAGTCCAAAGCGTCGACATCGAATCCGAGTGTCGCGCAGCGCTCGCGACGCAATGGAGAGTCGAAAGCAGGGACTGGGGACGTGGAGAGCGACGCGTGGACGTCACGCGCAGCAGCAGAAGCTGCGAGCAGCAGAAGCAGCGGGACCTGCATGACGATCAGTGCCACGCTCAATTATTGACGGGTGGTCCTACGTTAGTGTGGTGCACACAATGTGTCAGGCCGGTGGAAAAGAATGGAGAGATGGGAAATGGATTTCGCTGGGTTTTGATTACTTTACGCGTTTTAACCAATAGGCTCGCACGTGGGATGATTTTAACCTCCTTTTAGCTGTACTCAGGCTAGACTTTGACGACATGTGTGGTGGTATTGCCCATGTAAAAATGACATGTAACACGGGAATTGTCTGTCGCAGGTGAAAGGGATCAAATGGACATGAGTATCCAAGCTACCACACGTGGTAGGTAGCAGGTTTTTTAGTGTTACTTAAGAAGTACAACGATAACCAAGTATTCATGCATGGTGTCGATTGATGCGGTGAGGTTACCGACATACCTTCGTGCTTTGGCCGTCTCATCATAGTCAAGAAATTGTATCGTCCTTCAGCATTATAGCAAACAAAGACTACTGCTCGTACATGTTTCTGGTATCTGTAGCGACCTGCAATTGCAATTTAGTGGTAAGAGGAAGAGACGGTGGCTTGCATCCCTGTCATTATACTTTCGTCAAAGTATCTAAACAATAATGGGACCCAGCGCTGGGAGCAAGTCTTCGTCGTCGTACTTGCAGGCGTCCACCCGGACCACACACAGTCTGCAGCAACGGGTTTTCCGGATCTCTCCAATACGCACCTCGACGTCGTACTGCTCCGAGCAGTCGTTGCATACCATGTGCCCACAGAGTTGGCAGTCGAACTCTCGACGAAAGAGGCTGAAGCTCTTGTTGCAGACCAGACAGCACCGTTCAAACAACGCGTCGGCGTTCACTTTTGGAAAGTAGATGAAGGACTGGAAACCAAAGCGACGGCGACGAATGACGCGGTCAAATTGTTCCAGTGACTCGGTCAGTATCCGCATCACGCCTCGAGCTTCCGAGTTCAGGAGCATAGCTCGACGACGTGTCAAAACATGGGCTGGACAAGTGGTGTCATCCACCTCGGGATCACGCGAAACGTGCGTTGAAAACACTCGCGTGGGTTTCTCCGATGCAAGTCAAAAGTCGTGTATTCACCATCTTCCTGCTGCTGTGAACAGGTCGTTTACGTGAATATGCCAACGTTGCGACCATCTCACCTTACTGCGTAGGTCTCGCGACTTCTTAGCCGTGCGATTACATGCACTACTTCAATACTTGCATCTCTTGAATTGCTCAATACAATAAAGGCCTCGAACCTCATTTGAAGGTAAAAGAGAGAGAAGACTTGCTAGCCTCAAGCGCTCATCTCCAGCTGTGATCCTAATGGAGCCAGCTGAATAAAGTTCCTAGCGTGGGAACGATCGTGGCAACAATCGGCGAGTAGTCCATCGAAAGTGGTCGATCCTTCGTCGCCTCGTCATGATACTAACGCTAGAAAGTCGACCGATGCCTTCGTCTCGACTTGCAGCAATTGCAACTCGCCGATTGCAGACTCAAATGATGGCAGAAGAAAGCTGACTATGCTTCCGTCTTGCTCACTCAGAGATTTCCGCTTCAATTGACACCTTTGATCATCTGCTTGATACTTTGCTTGGACAGGTCGTGATCTGGAGTGCTATAGAGTACTCGCATGTACACTCACTCGTCCAGGATGGTGCTCGCCATCTTTACGGAGCCTCCTGTGTGCCGCTGTCAAATCACCGGAAGAAACTCAAACAAAGCGACGACAAGTCGCTAGAAACTTGAACCGTCGCGAATGAGGGATCGATCGATTGAAGATATCCGACCACCGTCTTGGCCAAACCGTGTCGTTGAAATGTCTGTCTTCCACCCCCTATCTCGAACCTGACGCTATGAGATGTGATAGAGTCCACTTGCTCTCACGTGGCTGCTGTAACAAGTGTACCACCATCCCGCATTAAATGTGAGCTGTTCATTTCGAGAGCAGCAGCAGCAGCATGTGGTCATCACCATCACGTAGGTGCATTCAATGGCACGTCACTTACGATCGATCGTCCATCCTGTGTATGGACGGACAGCCAGCAGTCCAGCCTTCCCTTCCTTGCTCGCACACTTTTCAATTTGTTTTCACCGGGCACGAACCAACCTCTCGTCTCCAGTCTTCTGCTGCTTTCTTCGTAGTCAAGTTACAGCAACCATGGCCTTCAGAAAGAAGTTGTGCTGTTCATGGGACTTTTCCAGCTCCCGTGCTATCGAGTTGGACAACTTAGATCGCGAGAGCTACCGATGTCGGTCGGCTGTATCCAGTGGTCGTGACTCAAGCGGTCTTCATGTTCAACAGCACACGGGTGCTTCGCGACAGCCGAAACTCGTCTTCTCGGACTCGGACATTTGCGAAGACGTGCTCGCGACCATGTCAAAGCTTCAAGCAGCAGCGCTCAACGATCATGACAAAGAACATGACAACAGGTGGAAGCTCCGTTCGGGCAAGAACGGGGTCGAGGTGGCCGAACTGAAGCCGCCCTACTTGTCCCTGGTCCAGCCTCACGACGATATCGATCTGTTGCATGCAGTAACGGCGAAAACCGAGCTCCGGTGTCACTTGAACGAAGCTTTGAGTGTCCTGCTGCACCAGGAATCGGACAGCTATGCTTCGACCATGAAAGCTCTTTGCGGGAAGCAGTTCAAGACAGGTCACGTGCTTTTTCACCAAAGTGTTGGGCTCCACACGCCTTCGTCCATTGCAAAACAAGCAGGTGGAGCTCCTCACCAAGCAGTGATTTCCGTCGTTTCAGCCAGGATGGGGCCGCCTCGATCGAGCTTAAAGATGCGGTTGCAGTCGCGTCAGCACCGAACGCAACAGCTCGTTTTTTCAACGTACACGCATCAACATGCGGACAAGAAACATGCCGTGCATTTGATGAAGACGGTACCGAAGGACGTTTACAACCAGATACTGCCGGACGCAGAGGAGTCGGTGCTACGCACTGGGATCGATCACCTTGGCATTGGTTTTGACTTGCAGTTCACTCCTAGCACTGGAGGAAGTATGCGACAACGTACTCGAATCTTCGCTCATGCGTATGCATCGGAGAAACCCACGCGAGCGTTTTCAACGCACGTTTCGCGTGATCCTGAGGTGGATGACACCACTTGTCCAGCTCATGTTTTGACACGTCGTCGAGCTATGCTCCTGAACTCGGAAGCTCGAGGCGTGATGCGGATACTGACCGAGTCACTGGAACAATTTGACCGCGTCATTCGTCGCCGTCGCTTTGGTTTCCAGTCCTTCATCTACTTTCCAAAGGTGAACGCCGACCTGTTGTTTGAACGGTGCTGTCTGGTCTGCAACAAGAGCTTCAGCCTCTTTCGTCGAGAGTTCTACTGCCAACTCTGTGGGCACATGGTATGCAACGACTGCTCGGAGCAGTACGACGTCGAAGTGCGTATTGGAGAGATCCGGAAAAACCGTTGCTGCAGACTGTGTGTGGTCCGGGTGGACGCCTGCAAGTACGACGACGAAGACTTGCTCCCAGCGCTGGGTCCCATTATTGTGGAGACTCCTTCCGAAGACTGGATTCCGATCGACAAGTCAATTCTGAACTCGTCAAGCCGAGACGACAATGGTGATCAGAATGAGTCGAAGGAGAATGAAGAAATCGATCGGATGGAGAGAGTAGATTCGGAAGATGCTGAGGCAGGTAGTCGATCTTTGGAGACGCTCGGCAACCTTTTGAGCAGGTCTTGCAGCACTTTATCGTCTACTAGTACTGCCTTCTCGTCAAAGCTTTTGAACGGAGCCAGCCGAAGCAAGACCAAGCTGCTGCAATCGAGAACTCGGAACATGGCTCAGGTTCATCGGGTCTTGAATAGTGTCGAAGAGCATTTGAACAAGACGCTGTGGAAAGCCAAGTTACAAATGACAGTTGACGCTTGCGACGTGAGTGACCGGACGCGGGACTACAAGTATAAATACGATGCGAGCCAAGTCAGTCACGCAGATATTCCATTGGCACCAAAGCCGGAAGCACAGAAAGATGCTCGTCGCATCGAGTTGATCAAAGGGTCAGGAGCCTTGCGAGCAGATTACGATCGGTCAGCCTTGGATCTGATTGCCGAAGTCGCAGCGAAACGTCTCAACTGTCCAATTGGAGTCGTCTCGATGGTCGATGACAAGCAGTTCCATGCAATCGGCCACTACAATCTTCCAGCAGAAGCCCACCTTCTTCCGCGCAATGAGGTCCTCTGTATCCATTCCGTCTACGCTGAGAAACCGCTTGTGGTCAAGAATCCTCAGCGGGATATGCGGTTTTCGAAAATGCCGTGTGTCAATGACCTTGGGGTCAAGTTCTACGCGGGGTTTCCACTACGAGCATCGAGTGGGGAGGTCATTGGCAACTTGTGTGCTCTCGACGGCGTCGCGCACAATAACATCTCGACGAAAGACTACGCAACGATGGAAACGCTGGCTCAATTGGCATCGGATTTGTTGCTACAGAACTTTTCAGAGACGTGAGTCGATGCCGAGGACTGCATGGACACTGGAAAGCATCAACGTGTTGTGACATATAAACTGAGCTTTCATCATGTTACGACCAATGTCACGAGCGTCCATATCGCGGGAAACTTCTGTCAACGTGGTAATTTACAGCGTATGTTATGCATCACCAAAGCCATAAAAGGCAAGTACGAGTTCAGTGCACAACCAACCGTCTCTTGACCATGTTAACACCCAAACCACCTGAATGAGCATCGTCGTTGTTATTGCTGTGCCAGTGTTGACCTCGACCATTTCGCCTGCATCGACAAATGCTCGCGGGCTCTACTTACGTCATGAACAGTGTCCTTTTGCAAGTCCTAAACAAAGACACGTTGTTGATCGATACGATCTCAGTTGCAAGACATGTGACCAGAAATACAAAAGAGACCTCCGCAGGCATGTTTTCCATTGCTCCTGATTGCTCCACCCAGCCAGCTATAATACGAGACGTCTACATCGTGAGCTCCATAATAGCATTGACAATATCGTTGTCATTGGAGCGAAGAGCAGCCACGGCTTTGCCTTTGCTCACTCCAGCTTGGCTCATGACCAACTGAATGTCCTTGGCATCAATCCCCGAGTCGTCCACGTCGTCATCGTCTTCGTCGTTCACGATCTCCACCGTAGAAGAAGATGTACCAGCAGCAGCAGCATCAGCAGCTAAAGCGTCATCCGTAGGAGCTTTGAACTGCTGAGCAGCCATGGACTGCGCTTGGGCATTTTGGTCTTCAATCTTGGCCTCGCCAAAGATCACGTACGACTCACTGGCTGGACTCTTGAACACGTCGGGCTTGGAGATGACAAACAGCATGTTCTTGTTCTTCTTGATCGTCACGCGGATGATGCCACCCACGGGCTTCATGCCGAGCTTCAGCATCGCTTTACGCGACTTTTTCTCCGACCGATTGTGTTTGCTCTTCTCGGCATCAACAGCGTCAGGGGCCTGTTCGAGCGCAGGAATGTCTTCGTCCGAGTCCACGTCCTGCTCCTCATGGTGGTCTTCGTGCTCGTGCTCGATGTGGGCCATAGTGTTCGCCGTCCGGGGTGTTGTAAGCAAGTTACAGGTATCAACTACGAACTATGCGCGAAACTCGAAACAAATGAATGGACGGGAGAGCTGGACAGTATGTCGTGAGTTAGGTGCGGATGACCTCTAAGAACTTATGTCAGCACGAAGTAGCAGATGGAAAAAACCTCGCGCGAGGAATCGAGTGTTGCTCGGAAGTCGCAGCAGCACAGACCCCGAAAGATCCGTACTGCTGCTACTACTTCACGCGACGTTTTGACAAGCAAGCATACCAGAAATAGACCTCTCAAACTCACGTGTTGCCAACTCGGTCATTCCACCACCATCTCGTCTCGCTTCCATTATTCTATCTCTGTCATTGCCTGCCGCCCCGTCTGCCGCCTGCTTTCCTGTCTGCCCTTGTCTATCCGTCTCCTGCCTCCCCTTAACTTCAGGCACTAACCGGCACGATCTCCGTCACACGCAAGACCGTCACCTGACGACGGAATCCGTTCCAGCGACGGTAATTCTTCCGACGTTTCTTCTTAAACACGTCAATCTTGGCATCCAGCGTCTGTTCCTCGACGCGCGCGCGCACTTTGGCGCCACTGATGAGCGGTCTGCCTACGATCGTCTGGTTGACGTTGCCCAAGAGCAGCACCTGCGTAATCATCATCATCGTCCAGTCGTGAAGTTCCATACAAAAAAGAGCCACAACATACACATAAGTTGCCGTTTCGCATTCCGTCATCACAGATGATCGGATTCGATTCGACGACGGCCGCAGCAATCGCTACATCCGTGATCAGTCACACACACACACCCCCTAATGACGCACCTCGTTCATGTCCATGATCTCTCCCACTTTTGCGTCCTTAATCTTCTCGGCAATCACAACGTCTCCCTCGGTTACTTTGTACTGCGTACCGCCCAGTTTCACGACGGCAAAGTAGTCGCTCGGCGTCATGGCGTCGCCCGTCACATGGTGATCCACGACTGAATGCGTGGGCAGCGGCGCAGACGGGACAGACGCAAACGCACGTGCAAGTCCTAATGGTTGACGTGCAGTACAACACGTACGTAACACGCGAGTGAGCGCGAGCGTCGCCATATTGCTGCAGTTCGTAGTGCAAGCGGAGCGGTGGTGTGATGCGCTTGCCAATTTTGTGTGGACGCGACCTAGGAGACACGGTGATTGGTAGATTCTGGTGTTGATGCTAGTATTGATTGGCTGAAAATGCACCCAGTTCAAGATCATTCACTCCGTCCAATAAAGAGGGAAAAAACAGGCCAGCAACTTAGTTTGCTTTCCCCTCGCGATTCCGCACTCAATTCGCTCTTACTACTAGAGGATCAGTGGGGAGTGCGGACAAGGGAGAGAGCGCGAGAGACTAGGGCTACGGGAAAAAGAACAACGAGACGACGGCTTGGATGAAGATTGACAAGTTGCCGCAACCGTTCGTTGCTTCGAATCATAGGAGCAAGAAGAAGAAAGGAAAGAACAAGAGGAGAGAGGAGGACGACGAGGAGGACGAGGCGCGAACAAGAGACGAGACGTTTGATGACGTGGACAAGCGGATCCAGATCCCTGTGGTCACCCGCATGAAGATGCAGATGAACCTCAAGATGAACGCGAGTAGTAGCACGTCCGCGTCTGACGACACGCGGCTCTTGCGCTCGGGCATTGACAAGTACCGCTCGCTCCAGCATCTCAACAACACCGTGTCGTCGTCGCCGTCGTCGTCGTCGAGGCGGTCCCATGGCAGTGTTGAGTGGTCCTTCGAGCGAGGGACGTCACTAATGGAAAAGAAACAATACGCCGCGGCAATCCCTTACTTTACCGAAGCCCTAGACCTCGTCACCGCAACCCTAACCCCCGATCGAGGCATCCCTTGCAGTGCGGTGAAACTGTACCACCAACGAGGTCTTTGCTTCTTGGCGTCGCACAAGTACAAGGCGGCGATCGAAGACCTCTCACGGGTCATGCACATGACACCTAAGAGTGCAGAGCTGTATGCGAAACGAGGGAAAGCGTACAGTGCACTGGGTGAATACCACGCGGCGCTGCTGGACTATTCGGAAGCCATCAATCTTGCTGCGACTCAAGGGTTACTTCACGACCGCGGCAGTCTCCTCACTTATGCAAGTGACGGACTTGCTGCCAGCAGCGCCAGTGTAGTGCAACTACGGGGCTTGTACATGGCCCGAGCCAAAGTGTACAAGGCCATGAACAACATTACACACGCTCTAGACGATCTCAGTCGAGCCGAGAACGTCGCGGGCGGCCATCGCGACCTCGAGCTCTTTTACGAGCGCGCGCTTTTGTACTTGCTGTGTCATCAGGGGCCGTTGGCGTTGCAGGACTTTGACCGGTTTCTCGAGCTGCAGAAAGAAGCTGAGGAGGGGCGACATTTTGACGCCTCGGGCGGCGTCGGCGGTCTCGCCGGCTTTGTCGCGGCGGACGCTGAGCCAAAAGCTCGTGTGTTATATGTACTGCTCGAAAGAGCCAAGTTGCAGCAGGTAATGGCCGTAGAAGCACATGCTCGGGAACGAAAAGACGCTGAAGTAGCAGCAGTGGAACAGGGACAGGCCATGCTGTCGCGCTCGAGAACGAGTGGGAAATCTGTCGTTGCTTATGCTACGTCTATTGCTGTTAAACCTGAACCTTATTGCGGCCTGGAGTCACGACGGCTAGAAAAACGTGCGCTGCGTGATTTTTCAAGAGCACTAGAGCTCGATTCGAGGGACGTCGACACATGGCGATTGCGTGGCGAGTGTATGATGCATCTTGGACGCTATGAAGACGCATTGGCGGATTTCGAGAAGGCGTTGGAGCTCGAGCCTCACGACTTTCAGGTTCGTATGGCTCGTGCCACGCTTTTCCGTCAACGTGGAGACTTGAAAAGGGCTGTCGAGGAAGTGACGGCAGTGCTTGATGTGAATGGTTTTTTTATCGATGGACTGAATCTGCGAGCACATTTATATGAAGAGCTGGGGGCCACGAAAGAAGCAGAGATGGACTATTCGTCGATTATTTACGCGCACTTTGACAAGCCGGAGAGCGGGCATGTCGTGTCGAGCGGGAAAATTACCATGGAGCTTGCGTCTGGTGGGACTCTGAAGCTTGGTAATCACGTTGGAAAGTCGGGAAAGAATGCAAAAGAGGGAGCAAGCGGGAGGATCATGAGTGAAGTGGCGGCGCAAGCCCTGCTATCTCGTGCGCGATTACGACTGGCTACCGAGCAGTTTGACGAAGCCGAGGAAGACTATCAGGCGATTCTGAAGTCGTTTGCCAACAACATGGAAGCGCAGTTGGAGCTGCAAGAGACCCGTGAGCGCAAAGTTGCATTCGAAGAACGGAAACAACGTGAGGCTCTAGTGTGGCTTGAAGAAAATGCAGATGATGTTGGTAGTGCTGGGGGAAATGGGAACGGCCACACAACGTCTGGCAAAAACAAAAAGAAGAAAAAGAAGAAGAAGAAAAAAGCGAGTAGCAGTAATGCTGGTGATGCTGGTACAAATTGGAAGCCCCCGGCCGGCTATGTACTGCTCGAGGATGACGAGGAGCTATATCTGCAGCAAGAAAAAGAGTTAGAGCAGGAAGTAGGACACGAAAAGTCGGGACAAAAGCTGTGTTCCAGTCAATCACTCTCAAGTGACATGGAGGCAGCAGAGAAAAAGAAGTACTCCGTCCTTGGTGATGCACCAGGACTCGAACAGGAGAGCAAGATTGGTCCCGCTGTAACCTCGGTCGACGACGGCACAAGTTGCCGACAAGGTGCAGGATCAATGGCAACGACGCTGTCCGAAGAGACAGCGTTGCCCGACACAACTGACGAGGTTCCATTGCCGGAGTCGGCCGATCAAAGATTGCAGATAATCGCTGAGCGGGATGGGGATAATAGAATGGAAGCTGCCCCTACGCTCTCTTCGGTCGTCGTGACAAGCGTCATGACTCGAGACGAAGCGTGGGACAGCATGTGGGACGAGGAAGCCGATGAGCCGTTACATGCCGGATCAGTTCGGATACGTATTCCAGCACAGGTCGGTGGTGTCGCCGGCGGTCAAGCGCAGATTGACATTGAGACTATGAGCTTTAAAGCGCCGTCGAAGGAAGAAAAAGAGGTGGCTCCAGCAACCGACAGTGATCTTAAGTCTGACACTGTGGACCCGACCGGTTCTATAGTTGATGATAAAATTACTAATGAGGCTTCTGGTAGTAGCGACGACGGAAAGGATAGCCAGGGTACGGCAAAAGCAGTTCTCGTGGATGAGAAGTACCTGAGAAAGCGCGAAAAGCAACTGAACAAGTTGCGTAAAAGCCTGCAGTACGCATCTAACGAGCGCGATAAGTGTGCTATCGATGATGCGTTAGCACGCGCTGAGCGTAAACAAATGAGCGGCGCTCTCCAGGATGATATTCAGCGTGCCCGTAATGTTTTGGCGGACATAGCAGTAGAAGCTCAGCGGTCATCTGAAACTTTGCCTTGCCCAACACCTATTTCGGGTCCAACCTCAGTTGCTGAGTGCGGGCGGAAACATTTACACGCTGTGAAACCAACGTCATCTGGGGTAACTGGAAGCTCAGGCGGGTCACCTTCGCTCGTGATACGACCCATTGCGTATGGTCAGGCACTTCAAGCTGCTGAGCAACACCAGCAGCAACTGCGGGCTCAGCAGAAGCTGATTGAAGAAAAGGATGCTGAGATCGCGGGGTTAAAGACTTTGTTGGCACAGAAAGAGCAGGCGGAGAAGGCTAACTCTCCCCAAAAAGAGTCGCGACGTGTAGTGGCCGGTGCTAATACTGAGGCGACAGCTCTTGCTCACCGAGCATCTCGCTTGCGAGCTCAGTTTCCTGTGCAGGGCGCAGCAGCACGTCAGGCCGAAGCGCTGATTGAATGGATGGGTCCTAACGATGCTGCAGACCGCGTTCGGCAACAAGTCCTCTCTTTTGTACAGCACGTCATAACTGCACATTTTCCGCTGGCACCTTCGCCGCTGTTCTTCGCTACCGGATCGTACCCAATGAAGACATACCTTCCTGGCTCAGATTTGGATGTGTGTTTGCTGGTGCCGCGAGAGCTGGAATCGTCGTGGTACTATATTGTTACACAGGCACTGTGCGTCGCTGGGAGTAGCGGTGGGGTCGGAACTGTGGTGGATATTGGCAATGTGGGATGTGCCATGGATGGGGGCAGTAGTAGCATGCCATCTCGATTCGGCAGCAATGTCGTTGGGAGCGGCAGCGGTCCAGTACTGTTGACGAACACAGTGCGCAATGTGGCTTTTGTAAATGCTGACGTTCGAGTCGTCAAGTGTACAGTTGACAACATTTCTGTGGACTTTACGGCAAACCGCGTGGGAGCTTTAGGTGCCGTACGGCTACTTGATGCTATGGCGGTTCGCGTAGGGCGGCATCACTTGTTCAAAAAGAGCCTCATCCTGATCAAGGCCTGGTGTACGCACGAGTCCAGTCCTTTTTTGCAAGCAGCTTCGTCAGAAATCTGCGAGCTTGGGTCGCCGGTGGTCTCAAGTCTCACACCGTCAAGCGTGATGGGAGCGAGCCAGGGTGCGCTCTCTACGTATGCTGTGAATACGATAGTCATGGCGCTTTTCAACCAGCACGGTGATACTCTCACGCACCCACTACAGGCGCTGTATTTGTTTCTGGATCGACTCGCAGAGTTTCCTTGGCACGAGTCGGCTCTCACGCTGCATGGCGCGGTTCCCCTTAATCGTTTGGCAACTACGCCTTTGAATGGATTGCTTCGACCCAGGACAAAACAGAGCTCCGTCATGCTAGACGCTAACGATGTTGAAGCGCTTCGCGATGCGCTGGCTAATCAGTTTGGAGCATTTGATGCAGCTTTGAACGGTAGCAAAGGGACTCAGTCAGGATCGTTCCCTATTCGTGCATGCAACATTGTAGACCCGCTCGATGATAAGAATAACTTGGCACGCAGTGTATCGGCTGAAGGCTTCCCTGTCGTGAAGCGTGCCTTCCGGCTTGCGCGGGATCAGCTTGTCGCGATGCTTACACCTCGATCATCGCGAAACGAAGACGATGCGGAGGAGACGAGTGGCGATGTCGGCACGACGTTTTTCGCGCGGTGTTGGCGGCTCTACGGTCGAGGTGACGGATGGCGACCCGACTTGCTGATCCATCCAAGGCAGGTCTGGCATGGCAAGGCTGCATTCAAGTCGGGCTCGGGGTCAAAGAAAGCTAACGGTCCGTCACGACCACGGGCATCTTCAGCCTCGCTCGTGGATAGTGACGAGGACGAAGAACGTCGTTGGGAATCATTGTTGCCGTCACTGGACGTTGGCGCTGCAAACGCTCTGCTAGTCCAGCATCAGCAATTGCAAGCCGCTGCAGCGACAGCGTATCACCACGGCTCTATGATAGTGCATCAGCAGCCGTACTATGGACCTTCTGCAAGTTCATCTGAGGCGGGGCCAACAGAATTACCGACTTCAACGACTATGGCGAATGGATCCGCTGGGTCTGTATCCTCAGGAGCTGCTGAGCTGGCGCTGCAGTACTCCCCACTGCGTCGTCCTTGCGGGAGTCCAGGCAGTAACAGTCAACGTGGCAAGTCCCCACCACCAAAAAGGGACATTGGGCGCGCAGAACATGTTCATGGGAGGTCGATCGTCGGAGCACATGTAAGGTAACATTAATAGACAATACAGGAAGCAGGGAGATGCAGGTAAAGCGAACGCTTCGCCCCTATTTATTCCAACTTAGACCCTGGCTTTCTTCCATTTCGACGATGGTGCTGTCTCGGTGGTATTTGTTGCTGACTTTGTCTTGTTCACCTTACTCTGCTGTTTGTTTTGACGGTTTTTCATCTTGACAGCATCGCGCCGCTTTCGTTTGTAGTCAAGTGTGAGTTTCTTTCGACGCTCGGGCCAGTCTGCTGCTATCGCATCGCCGCCACCAACGAATGTCTTGCCGAAACTCAAAAAGTCATCGAGAGTCTTCTTGGCGCATTTCGTTGTCGGTGCAGCCTTCGTCTGCTCGACCTCCTCAGCATCATCACCAGCTTCACTATATGTGGCCATGGCTTCGTCTTCATGGTATAAATCTGAAGGGTGAAAACCTTGCAAGAAGGCCGAGTCTGGTGCATTCGGTTCTTCCTTCTCCTGGTCTTCTTCGAGAAGCTGCTCGCCCATTGCAGCCAAAGGCTTGTCCGTTCCAGCCGGGAAAGAAAACAAGGAGCTGAGCTTGAACGGAGTGTCACTTCCACTAGCAGCTGTGCCAAGCCCAAAGACACCGTCCAGCGCTGCTTCGCCTTCCTCGCCATCCTCTGAGTTTTTGCGAACGCGTGAGAACAGGTTGCTGAGGTCGCCGGCAGTCGAGAAGAAGCGATCACCACCAGTCGGGATTTCCTTCGAGTGTTTGGACGCAACCGTCACCTCTTGAGGTCCAGAGGCAGCAACCGTCATGGGAATCTCGAACTCGCGGCATGCATGGGCATCTCGCGGATCATACCGCTTCAATTCTCCCATCCAGGCTGCTTCCTTCAGAGGATCTTTGGGCACACGCTGCTCCTGCATTCGACGCTGCAAACGCGTCACGTCGACATCAGGGTACAACTTGGCCACCACTCGCAAAGCTGTGTCCTGTTCTTCGCACATTTCACGCGCATGACGAGCCGTCACCTCCAAGTCTTCGTCGTCCAGGAAAGTCTGCAGCTCAGCAACAGTCTTCTCATCGATTCCCTGCTCGGCATCAACTTCCACGTCATTGCCGCCATACTCGTTGGCCTCGTCTTCCAAAAAACGGGCATCCAGACGAAACCGCGAGTCACCACCAAAGCGCTTTTGCATCTCAAACAGCTTCCGACCCTTTTCTCCAACAAACTCGGGTCGCAAGGCAAATGAAGCCTGCACTTCCGCATCAACAACAGCCTCAGTGTCCCGATCGTCGACAAAGTCAAGCGTTTTACGCTCAGAATCATCTCCACGTGCTTCATCGTCGCTCGAGTCCATCCAGTCCAAGGTCACTCCAGCTTCTTCTTCTTGCTCGTCCACCTCGTGCTCGTCCACGTCCTGCTCATTTCCGCTATCATCAAACGTGATCTTCTTGTTACCTGGAGCCGCTCCAATCGCAGGAATCACCACCACTTCCTTCTTCCGCTTCTGCTTTGCCTCCAGCGCCGCTAAACGTCGCGCATTCATCTCCTCTCGACTCAGCACCTTGTGCGGCTGCTTCATCTCTTTTTCCATTCCCGCTGCTTCATCCTCAAGATACTGCTTCATAAACTCCTCGACGTCATCCTCTCGCAGCCCCTCTCCATCACTCTCCTCTTCACCACCACTCTCCGTGTCCGTCTCCACAGTCCCTCCCTCCTGACCCACCACCTGAAGAGGTTCTACCTCGTCCACCTCCTCAAACTCGGTGAGTTTTCGTCCTTGAAACGGGACACTCAACTTCAACGGCCTGACAGCTTCCCCACTCCTCCCAAGCTCCACTTGCTGCACTGCTTGTCTCTTCAGCTCCCACTGCTTTCGCTCGTTCACTTGCTCCGCCCACTCTTGCTCGAGTTTTTGACGAAAATGAGGTCGTGCCACTTGCACCTTTAACCCCATTCCCCGCCATTTCGTCCGGTTGTACGTTTTCTGCAGTGCCTCGCTCTGGGTGACGGCGTCCGTACCTTGCAGCGTTAAGTACGCAAAACCGCGACACCTTCCACGGCATGCACTACTTTCACTGGATACCTCCGTCTCTTTTGACTGCGGGAGCTCCACGTGCGTCAATTGACAATCAGCTGCGCTGCTTACGAAGCGTCCAAAGCGGTCGTTAAGTTCTTGCGTCTGGATGGTGGCGGGTAACCCGCCTACGTAGACGCGCACGGGCTTTGGAGACAGCATGTTGGATGTTTTTACTGGACCTCGTGGGTCGAGGTGGAGGTTGCGTCAGTTTAGAAACGACTTTTTGTGAGAAAAGTGTAGGTCGAGGTTAGAAATAGCGTGGAAAAAGAGGGGGGGCGAGTTCTGCAGGTTGCTGGTTGAGAGGGGAGGGGGTAGATGATGGGTGGCGAAGATAGAGGAGGGACGGTATAATAGCGCAGGACAGTCAGTCGAGTGTTAGAGCAGTTGCGGATAGCGTTTCGATTCGAGTGATTCATTGATTGGCAGTTGAAGGGCGAAGGAGTGAATGGTGATCGACTTTCTGGACAGAATAGAAGCAGCTATTGCTGCAGTACAGCGGCTTCGTGCCAGTTGTTTGCTAATGGCATCATTGAGACAGCTTCGGTGATCCACTTTTGCTGATGTGATAGATTGAAGCAGGCATGTCATGAAGGACGGAAGGGCAGGTGCTGACGAATGAATCGAAGGATTCTTTTTAGAAAAGGACACGCACCACTGATTACCACCTAAAGCCCACAAACACTACCTTCCAGTGATCGAGAGGAGCCGTGCGTGGTTAGTGTGAGCTAGCACCTAGTCATCAGTATTAATTTTTTTAGCTCGGCAAAGTAAAGGTGAGATCAACGATTGGTTGCATCAGGACTTTAACTACTATTCACAGTTCCCTTCACCTATGAAAAAGCACAGATTTTATTTACTATCGTGCGCATCCTTCCTGTACGGAATGCATTCGTACGTCGTGCCCACACCTTGTCAGTGAAAGTTGTATACACTGTGGCCAGTGTCACGAAACGAGCCCTTTTCAGTTTGTGTGAGGGGGCATAACAGGGAAAAGACAAAAAACTTACATATTACGCACGCTATAGTGAAGGACGTAGTTTTTGACTGTGAAAAATGTATACACAAGAGGTACCAGGGTTGACCTAGCGCTACCTTTTACGGTGTTGACCTCGACATGGATCAGTTGGAACAGTGAGGGCCGTTCAACAAAAGAGATCATACAAATGCCAGTATGTAAGAGTAAACAGACTAGTCGGCACTAAGCGGGTGTCACAACTGTGAACAAAAGGCAAGACAGTGAAGTCAAGTGCTGGTTGACAGGATATCTGCTACCTCTTGTAGAAGTATAGCTGCTTGGTCTGGAAATTGAAGAGAATGACGCGAGTTGTCTCTAACAAGAAGAGAGCCAGACTAAATAATTGTTACACTTTGTGTCATGGTATGTATCCAGTGTACCCTTGTGGAGCATGGACATGAACGGTACTGGCATATCAAAGCTTTGATGTAACGGGGCACCCTGAAGCTTGTACTGGTGACAGTACAAGCTACTTATTCTGATGACAGAATAAGGCGGTGCCTCGTAACTTCACGTACACTCGTACGTGCAGAGGAAGACGGTAAGAAGAAGCGAGTACTTGGTTAAAGTAAAAAGTAGAACTGTATTTAGTATAGTTAATGTCTGCAATAAATCACTATTTATCTTCATCTAACTATGTCTAAATACAAATGTGTAAATCAGTTATCTGCTCACCACTCATTGCGTGCGTCTGTCGTGGCGCGTCTTCGTTGGTTGATATAATGACCTATATCAACCAATTAGGAACTATTCGTAAGTGCTACAGAATATTTGTCCTTATGACAATATTCTGAGAATATAACTCTTATAGTTATATTCTATTAACAATTTCTTATAAATTGTTATGTAACGATTCACCCCGTTACATCACCCCCCCCTTAACCATCAGTCACTTTAGTGACTGATTGACTAAATGGATACTCGTCCCAAATCATTTGGGACAGGGTTTGCACTTGTTGGTCCGCGTCCACTTTCCAACATCTCATCGCATGGTAAACAAGCCCATGCGATGCGCGAGCAAGGCCGCCGAGAGCGCGTCTGCACGTTTCTGTGCGGACGCCGAAGCAGAAACCACAGCAACTGATGTCTCATCGGTTGCTGAAGCGACCCAGCCTGTGTCACTTGGTGATGCAGGCGCTGGTCATGAAGACACTCGTGTCTTCACAGAGTACGAGCTCGGTGTCTCGTACTCTCCTGATACGGATGACGGATCCGTATCGACAGCGATTGAATCTAAGCCGCCTGCCAAGCGTGGCATGCACGATGCTTTGCGTCGCAGCATCTTTGGTTCATCTGATGAATCAGATGAACCATCGCCGAAGCGAAGGCGCTCGAGGTCGCGAGACTCGGGCGCTAATAGTGGTGTCGGTTCTCCTATGGACACCACTTCACAGCAAGGTGCCAGTACTTCTGTCGGCACGTCGCAGGAAGAGCGGGACCGCAATGTGTTGCGTCTCGCTCCTGAGAAGAAGGCATGGATGCCTCCTAAATCAGTCATGGATCACTTGTCGGCGACGACGAGTGATCGTTATCGAACACGATTGTTCGATTTGTCAAGGATCCATCACCTTGACCCCAGCGCGAAAAACTATCGCGCTGAACATGAATTCTTCATCGATGCTTTCTTTAGACATCGATGGTACAGTGGGAATCACAAACGTGATGGTCCCTCACTACTTCAGGCGTGGAACGCCTACATCCATAACCTCGAGGATGTAGGTCGTGACGCTTGGAACGACAAACTTATCAAAGCTCGTGATAAGTTTGAAAAGCGAACCCCGACAGGTGCACGCTACAAGCTGCATCGTCTGTCAAGGGAGAAAGGATTACCCTGCCTCTCTTGGGGAGACTCGTGCCCATGTTGTGTGAACAACTCTGCACGAGCACCTAAGGAGGCTTACCTCCTTACCAGCCCGTGGTGGCGCGTACGTGTCTCTACTGAGATGTACGAAGGGATTGACAACCTGAAATCCCTTTACGACCGTGCCGGGAAGACTTTCTCCGGCGGTCCTTCTGCGGCACAGGATGTGCCGCATCGTACTGCTCAACCAGACCCAGTACGTCGATCATCAGTTGGGAGCGGGGCTCCCAAGAATCCCAGGACGGGGGATAGCCGCGCCACCGGACGAGATAACTCGTCCGACGTCCGTTCACGTCGCGGTGGTTCAACAGCTGCTCAACTAGATAGCGCTGGCCACCGCGAGAGTCCTCTAATGGAGGTGGAGGAGGAGGAAAGACGCTCTCCACACGATCATGTGGATCGGTGTGTACCCGAGAGCTTCTTTGATCGCGTAACGCAAGGGTTACGCGACGATCTCGAACATGAGCGGAATAGGCGTCTCCAAATGGCGGACACTGCCTCGAAGCATCGAGCTGAGTTTGCCTTTGCTCAGCTCGAGAACGAGAGATCTCTGACATCTCTTCGTGACGAGCTAAGGGTAGCTCGTGGGATTGCTGATCGGTCTCGGGATGAGATAGCTGCTCTTCAGACCCTTGTTGATGCCCACCATCGGGAGCACAAGGCTCTCTGCGAGATGCTTGAGCGCAAGGGCGTTCTTCATCGGAAGAAGCAGCGTACTGATGGTACGGCTTAAGCCGACCAACGTAAAACGTGGGATGCGTTCGCATCTTACGTGGTAACTCGATCGTGTATGCATTGCCTAGGTGGTGCAATACACGAAATGGGCCAATGTACTTGGGTAGTAGTTTACTGCTACCCAAGTTAGTCACTACATGCTTTGGTAGATTAACCGTAGACAGTAGGACTAAGTCACCTTTATTAAATAAAAGAGTGTTTGCCCTTCCATTCTTGTCAGCGTTTTGCTTATCCACCGCTTCGGCGATGGAGTCTTGCACAAAACGGACTACCGTTTCACGAGCCAGTATGAACTCATCTGATGACTCGTTAGCTTCAGTGCGCTGTGAGCGCACTGCAGCAACATCAACCTATTCTTCAGTGAGGGCTTCCGCACTCTCACTGGGATCATTGTCTTCAGTGAGGGCTTCCGTCTTATCCTTCTTCGATATCGATGTTATCGATATCGGCATCAAACGCAATGACTTCTTCGTCAGAGCGTGATGAGCGTGAACCAAATCGGTTTTTGCTCGCGCGAGTCCCTCCCCCCCTTAAACCAGAGTTACACTCTAGTAAAGTGGGTACACGCGGATTGCGCAAGCCATTCACGTAAAACGGTGTATGTGTCGTGGACGCATGCACCGAGTTGTTGATGGCAAACTCTACCATTGGCAAAAACTCACTCCAACTCTTAAAGGAGTGTACGTATCCTCGAAGCATCTCTTCAAGGACACGATTGGCACGTTCCGTCTGACCATCTGACTCTGGATGATCAGATGTTGACATCTTCAAGCGCGTTCCGAGTGATTTGAACACGGAACGCCAGAAATCAGCAGTGAATCGTGGATCTCTGTCTGATACGAGTTCACGGGGCAACCCATGAAGTCGGAAGATGGTGTCAATAAAGACACAAGCACAGCCACTTGCCGTGATTGTCTCTGGTACAGCCACAAGGTGTACCATTTTGCTGGATCTGTCAACAAATACGAGAATACCCGTATTCCCGCGTGCGTCTTTGGGTAACCCGAAGACGAAATCCATTGAGATGGATTCCCAGCACTCAGCCGAAACCGGTAGAGGCTGTAAAGGTGCACGCAGTGAAGGACTTGACTTCACTCGTTGACAGACTTCGCAAGCGCGAACATACTTTCGCACAAACTGATACTGGCGGGGCCAGTAAAAGTCTCGACTTACCGTGAGATATGTTTTCTCTCGGCCACGATGTCCTCCTATAGGAGCATCGTGATACTCGAACATGATCCTCAAACGCAGATCAGTATCATCTGGAATGACAACACGTGGTGTGTCACCAGAAACGGCTGTATAATACAGTAACCCGTTGCGAGTAGTGTATCGATCTGATGCAGATCGATACGCAGACGACAATCGTTTCAACGATCTCGAGATGGCTGTGAGAGATGTGTCAACAACTTCACAATATCACCATCTTGGGCGTATGCCCGCCTCACATCATCATTCAACGTTGAAGATGGGACTGAGGACGTCATAACCGCAATAGTGACTGTCTCACTGTTGGGTTTCACGACTTGTTCAAAGTCGGGACGACGT